TGGAATGAAATTTTGTGCTGGTTTTCACAGACAAACAGGTTGTAGTATGTTCATTTGTACTGAGATTTGATATCAAAATGTGTACCAATTTGAGGGGACACATATGAAATTGCGATTAATATCTAATTTTGAGGGTTTGTTCAGTAAATAAGTACTGAATTTGTGAATTATACATCGTGTAGAGTAAGACGTAAATTCAGGTTTTGATTAGATATCTGCGATCAAAACTGGTGCTTGTTCTAACACAAAATGTCCATTTGATTTAAAACTGTGCGAGATAATGTCATAATCATGACATGAAAAATTCAACATAAATCAAATTATTTGTGCATCAGCGTGTATTTCTTTGTTATAATGGCATTTTCATGTAGCGTTGCACAAAGCAATAATGTACAGAGAATTTAATTGCAAGAAAAGGGAAGAAAAACAGTCACGAAATACGAAAAATTGATGCAAGACTGGTGTGTTATGTTTCATTTAGACATTAAATTCAAATACAAATGAAGTAATATTTGATTTAACAGATATTACGTAATTTTTGTTACGTGATGTAGTGGTGCCACAGTATGAGGGTCTGTATGGGGTCCTTCATTTCTGTATTCTTTAATTTTTTAGGTCATTTTTCTCTATTCTTTATACTTTTTGCCCATTATTCTCTATTTTGTAAACCCCCATCCACACCCTGCAATATCAGTACGATTATAGTGATTTTTCTTCTCCTACTGGAATCAATGAATCCTTTTTATGACATAGTTTCTTATGAGATTTGGTACTGTGCTAGTTAAAGGATAAAATAATCAAAATTATACCCAAAAAGTAAACTCATCATAGATACCAGGCTTATAAAATCTTGTACACCAGACGCTCGTTTCCGGTTTACAAAAGACTCATCAGTGACGCTCGAATCAAAAACATTTTAAAAAGACCAAATATAGTACGAAGTTAAAGAGTAGTGAGGACCCAAAATTCCGAAAGGTTTTGCCAAAAACAGTTAAGGTAATCTATTCCCGAGGTAGAAACCCTTTATAAAAAAAGGGTAAATAACATCTGATGACGTATTTTTTATCTTCTGATAATAATACATATCCATTGTAAGACGACGTGTACCTCTTCTATCCTTGTTAACAGCTAATGAATAAAACTAAAGGCTAATAGAAGTCCTCATAGACTCCTGCATCTTGACAAAATACATTTGTACACCGTAATTCACAAAGAGAAGATAAAAGATGACAAATTAGCTGCTGTGCTTTGTTTACATCAATCCCAATATGTTTCAAAACATTTCAACTTTTAATTTAAATATTTTAATGGTAAATCCAAATCAAAAATTGTATTGCAGCCCTGTCTGTTATCCGATCAAAACCGATTAAGGATCATTTTGTAGAAGACCTTTCGTACAACATGCGCGCAAAGTTTGATCAAAATTTGCTTATAAGTTTTAGACAAGAGTTAACAATGTAATTGTCCATACGGTTTCAGAGAGAAGTATAATTACCATTAATGCCGCCTTGTTTGCCAACCGATCACCATTAAATGAGGATCGCATGTAATCTTTTCAAAACATTTGTTATAGAGATTTGTTTTTAAATGTTGTAATCAGAAACTACGATTGGCTCTTACAGCCATGTTTTTTCATTCAATTGGAACTAAATAAGAATAACCCGTAGAGGATTTTCCCTGGAACCCTCTTATTAAGTTCGCGAGTAGTTTCGAACAATAACTGAAGGTGAAAAAGATTATTGTCATATGCTTTCAATATTTACTATCTGCCACAAATGCCGCAATGTTTTCTAGCGATCAACATTAAATGGTGATCGTTTGTAGACAAAGTGTCTTCTTACCATTTATCTCCTTAATGGCTGCCATTTTTTTTCATCACAAAGAACTTGATATTGTTATAGAGACGAGCGGAAGACAAACGCAAAAGTTTACATGACGCTATGGGCTAATTTGAGCTAACAAGTATTTGCATGAATTCTTAAAATTTGACAAACACAAAAATGAATATATAAGCAAAAGTAATGCTAAACATGTATTTCTCTATCAACAAAGATCTTTCTTTCAGCTCCCTTTGGATACTGGATTTTCTGATGTTGTCTTTTTAGCATTGACAACAATTGTTTCAATAACCCATCTGATATTTTTTTTCTGATGGTAAGGATAATTAATTCGATCCCGGCAAACCAATAAAATTGGCGGTGTATGCTGTATATTTTTTCATCAAATTAATGGATAATTCAGAATCTAGCCAATAATTTTCGTGTAAACAAGAGATCATTTATAAACTTTAAGTAGCAATTCTTGCTTTCTAAACAAGGAGTTTCTTCAATTATTTAACATTTTGCTTCTTTCTTTTTTGGGTTATTAATTCATGAAGTGTTTGGGCGTGATGTTTTACAAAAATATTTTATTGGTAATTTGACAGTTTTGTTGTAGAGATTGTAATTCGCATCAATTCATTTTTGCAGACTTCTCCTTGACATCGATTAATTCACTACACGATGTCTGTATTTTAGAGATTGATATTTGAATTTCTAGTGGTATTCTTCATACTGAAACTTGCGTCAAACAGCACATTTTTTCTTTCCTGTTTTAAGTTTTCTAAATATGGATGTTCCATTGGTTCCTTCTTATTGAGGGTTTTGTTCTCGGTTGATTCAACATGGGTTTGCAGTGACGTCTTTTATTTATGTTTTTATTCTCCTGTAGAGAATTTGTTGTTGATAACCAATCTGAGTCTCTGTAATGTTTATTCATAACTTCTGCTTTTGGTGATATAAATGTTGACTAGTCTGTCACGGGTCCAACTTATTGAAGTATCCACAATTTACTCCCTGAAGTTAACTTGGATTGTCTAAGTGTAGCTACATGTACCCTTTCCAACTTTTTCATAAAATTTACTCATACAAGTAAAAGAAGAGTGTACACGCTGAAATGTCTCGCCTGCTTTACTTACAGTGACTAAACTTATGATAAATGTCTGCAATATGAAGGTTTTACAGTATTACATTAACTAAATATTATCAATTGAAATGAGTACAAGGTCAGGTCAGGTCAGGTCAGAGGACAGACAGACATGTACAATATACAATCACACCATATATGAAATTAAATTAGCCTGCTTATGACATCTGAGAATCAGACCTAATTCCGAAAAATGATCATTGACCAATGAACCATGAAAATGAGGTCAAAGTCAGATGAAACCTGCCAGTCGGACATGTACATCGTACAATCATTCAATACACCAAATATAGTGGCCCTATTGCTGATAGTATCTGAGAAATAGACAAATTCACAAAAACTCCACATTGACAAAAGAACCTTGAAAATGAGGTCAAGGTTAGATGAAACCTGCCAGTCAGACATGTACGACTAAAAATCATTCCTCACACCAATCACAGATGTCCAATTGCTTATAGAATCTGAGACAAAGACTGGACTACTAAAACTTAACATTCATCACTGATCCATGAAATGAGGTCAAGGTCAGATGAACCCTGTCTGACAAACATGTAGAACTTGCAATTATCCCATATACCAAATATAGTTGTCCTATTGCTAATTGTAATGATGTTTAATTATGCTTTGATACGATTGTTCGAAAATATTATTTCTGGCAAATTTGACGATTTTGCATTACAAAATTCTGCCAACTTATGGCATACAAATGACATCTTTTTTTTTACACTTGTTGATAATCCTACATTTTAATGTAGTACCTGCTATTTGCCTGCTTTATATTCCTTAATAGGTGTCAAGACAAATGAAATTGTGCTTACATCTTAAATCTGCCGTATTTAGGTACTTGTTGACCGTGAAAAGTTATTGAATGTTAGCAAAATATTTTTTACACGCAATGTTATTGTGTGCTTTGAATGTTATAAAGGGATTTCCAACTGTCAAAAAAACGATTCAAACTGATCAGCTAATTTAGGTAATTACTATAAATTTACACACAAACATTTTACAATAAACTGCTTTGCCGAGCGCAGCTGGATACGACCGCAGAGGTCCAACCCTGAACAGTTGGGGCAAAAATGGACACAAAATTCAAGCTCGATACAGGTCTGAATTTGGATTGTAATTAAATATTTGACACATTATAGGTTTCTGACACAGAATAAATGTAGTCAAAGAACTTGAAATTGGTTGTATGATTTGAATTTATATTCAATTGAAGATTTCTTGCTGTTGTGCAATACACTGTGTTGTTGCGCAATACTTAGTAAATCTGTTTTCAGACTATATACAAAGAATTAGCAAAATAAATTGTGACCCCTAATTTTTTCTTTGAAAAATTGACAATTTTTTAATTCTTCATGGAAAAAAAATTGACCCCCCCCCCCCCCCCCCCCCCCCCTCCAAAAAAAATAATATTTGAAGAGAATTTTCTTGAGGAAAAAAAATTGCCCTCCCAAAAAAAAATAATTTTTTTAACCCCCCCCCTCCCCCCTTCCAAAAAAATTAATTTTGAAGAAATTTTCTTTTTGTAAAATGTGGTACAAATTAAGAGACATTCATACACTTAAACAAAAGTTATTGTCTGAAAACTAGAAAAATGCTTGTTTTAGACCCTTTTTGGCCCCTATTCCTGAACAGTTTGGGCAATTACCCCCAAAATGAATCCCAACCTTCTACTTGTGGTATTGATGTGTTCAATTCTTTATCATTCAAGATGTAATATGGTTTCCTTCACTGGTATAAATTGCTAGGCAGTGACTTTAAAATCCATGAGCAACTGTTTTCTCCCAAGAATCATAGTTTTTTTTAAGGAATCATGTTTTGGTTTTTAAATTAAATTCTATCAAAAATACAAATGATGCCAAAAAGACATTTGCAAATGTAATGTTCTTTTAATGCAATCATTTTGGATGTGTGTTAGAATATTCTTCTTGTTTTGGACTAATCATGTATATTAGATTCTTCTCTTGTTTATATCTAACAAGATTTCTGACTTTTCAATGGCCTGTCAAGAAAAGAGAAATTGGCAACAGGTGTTGTATTTTAACATTTATTCTATTTACATTATTTTTTTTAGTATACTTTTTTTTACATATCACAAAATGCAAGGGTAACTACAACAATCTACAATTTGTTCAAATATTGAGCAAAAAGTGTATTTCTATGAATGATAGTATTAATTTGATCTTTTACATATTGAAAATAAAAAATTAACACTTGCATGAAACTTTGATAGATATTTAACTCTAACCAGTGGTAAAATATAGTACATATATATCAATCTGCTTGAATAATATACTAAGAATTAGTATGTATGTATCCAGTGCTATCTACAACTATAACAGATCACTTCAAATAATAGCCTGTTTCAACAATGATATATGGATGAAAGGACAATGCAATCTTTTTTTTGTAGATTCTCCAAAATAACAAGACAATTTGGTCTTAAATAGGAGAATTTTTTTTGTTTTTTTTTAATTTTGGTGGGGTGGGGAGGGGTGATTTTTTTCAGCAGAATTTCCTTTTTAATACATTTATAGCTATCCCAAATTCATAGATTGTTTTATTATGAAAAAAAAAATATTAAATTAGAACCTCAAAATACCCATGAAGCTATGACATTGAGGGAAAGGCCCTGGTGAGAAATATATTCAGTGGAAACTAGTCCTACAGATTTATTGGCAAAATTGAACTAAAAGTAGAATACCTAATTAGCAGTAAACCATGGCAGTAAGTTTATCATAGTAATGTAAGATGCGTGCAACAATTATGTATTCATATACTGACATTAAATATTGTTGTGTAATAAATATCATTATTTGATACAAATATAAATTATATACATAATACAAAAACAAAAAATATCATATTAATCACAACAAGGTTATAATGAATAAATTAAGAGAAAAACACTTCTTCCTTTGAGGCCTGACTTCACGTAAAAAGGGCACATTAATCTAGTATGATTAGTTGCACTGTATTTCTAAATAAACATATACCTGATTAATAATTACAAAACATATAACTCCAGTCACAAATATGCCTACTCATAGAAATAACTTGTTTGTATCAATAAATCATTTTTGCAGTCTTATCAACAATTTATAGAAAAGAATCAGTAAAATTTGGCATTAAAAAAAAATCAAATTCTTATGTTAGATTAACATTTTAAGGTGAGTATTGTTTAATCAGTCCAACATATTTTTATGTTATATTTTTTTGTTGAATATTTCATTTTACATGAAGGAATTGTCATAAATATGGGATATATGCCTTAAAAAAATCTAACTTGGTGGTTGATTTGGTGAAATCACAGTTAAACATTTTATCATCATTAATAAATTTGCCTGCGACTTTTTATGTAACACTGAGATATAATACAAAAATATCTAATTGACTTTGCATTAACCTATGATAGAATCGTCTATTTTACAGTGACTTCCTGTCATGAATCTACAGGAAATGCAATGTCATATACTTGTTGATAATTCTCTACAAAATGTATTTCAACTCCATCTTTGATAAAGTCTGGTAAATCAGAATAATCTTTTCTGTTCTCTTCAGGCAAGATAATGCATGTAATTCCTGATCGCTTTGCCTGTAAAAATAATCATATATCATAGCCTAACTGATTTACTGACATTTAATAAGCTTTAATAAGCAAACAATACAATTTCTACGGCTTTTAAGTGTTCATGTAAACAATCAATTGATCCTTGCACAAAGTCTCTCAGTATATTCTGGTCCTGAGGACAATGATCTAGCCACAAAATCAAGTATCTTCATGACAATATCTTTTTTCTTAATCCAAGAAAATTGATTTTAACAATATTAATAAATAAATCAACTAATTATAATGGGCAAAATATGATATAAAGCTGTTTTTTTCCAGAAGTTAAGTTCAATTTAACAAACTATGGCTTGCATGAAATTATGATAAATTTAAATTATAAAGTACACTCTAAAGTTTAAGAAAGCTTAATAGTAAGTTAATTAAAGTAACATGGTTGAACCATTACTTGTTTTATGATCTGATATATTCAATGTTCTCATTTATCATGAGAAACAAATATTTCAATAAGCTTGAGTAAGCTGTTTCAAGAACCTTATGCATTCTGGCTAATATTTTTAAAATAGTACACCAAAACGTCGCGATTGGCTAATAAGGTCCAAAACAATTGAAATTCAACCAATGACGTGAAGTTGTTTTCAATTTGAGGTATGAAACAAGTTTAGATTAGCTGTGTAAGCACTGTATCTGAGACTTTTCACTTACAGCAATAGTTTTCTCCTTAATACCTCCCACTGGGAGCACCTTTCCTGTTAATGACACCTCTCCAGTCATTGCTAGGTTCTGTCTACATGGTCTCCCTAATGTCAGGGACAATAAAGCTGTTACTATGGTACATCCAGCACTAGGTCCATCTTTTGGTGTAGCTCCCTACAATAAAACATTTTATAGTAAGTATTGTAAAAGTGATTAAGGCTGTGTACTTTTCTTGTCTGGAAATTGCAGCATTATATTAATTTTGAATTTCAACTGTAGTCAAATTAAACAAGTAAAAACCTTCTCATATGATGCATAAAACTTTATGTGATCCATTTTTTATCAGAATTTAAAGGCATGTAAGCAAATCAGTAAAAGAAATTAATGCTTACTTTAACCAGCTTATGCAAAAGATGTAATCACTTTGTTAAAGGTGAGTGGAAAGTACACCTCTTACAAGATCTTATCCAATGGTAAAATAATCTCTACTTGTTAAAAAGATAGACAAGACCAAGATATGTATCTTCAAAGTGATGGCAAAATGAAGCTGACTTACAGAAATGAAAGCCTGGATGTCTTACCTCAGGGACATGTAAATGAAGCTGTGCCTTCTGTAGGAAGTTATTATCAGGTTCTGTCTGTGCCATGTATGATTTAGCATATGTATAAGCTAGCTGTATACTTTCTTGCATTACTTTGCCAAGATTGCCAGTTACTTCCATAGCGCCATCTTTGTCAGCACCTGCTTCTAAAGCTCTTTTCAAGACTGTTTCTATATATAACGTAGCACCACCTAAAACAATATAGAATACATTCAGAACATGAACATGTTTAAAATATAATATGCAACTTCAACAAACATATCATGGTGTTCAACACAATCAAACTTAAAGATCTTCCATGCCCATGAAGAAAATGAAATGTCCAATATGATTTTAAATGTCTTGTCTCAATCTATTGTACAGAACTCATGATATGTTTTCTTTTCTTTTCCAACTTATTTGTTATTAAAGTTATTCTAAAAAAACTGGATACCAAAACTAGTGTACATTGTCTTGATCAACTATTTTTTGGAAAAATATAATTGAGTGTTATAAAATCAGTTTAAAAAACGATGTTTGTTATGCATAATTGCTAGAATTTAAAAAAACATGTGCATGTTACTACATGAAGCAAAACAGCATCTAAAATATTCTGAACAAGAATGTGTCCATAATTCATGGATGCCTCACTTGCACTATCATTTTCTATGTTCAGTGGACCGTAAAATTGGGGTCAAAACTCTAATTAGAAAGATCATATCATAGGGAACATGTGTACTATGTTTCAAGTTGATTGGACTTCAACTTCATCAAAACTACCTTGACCAAAAACTTCAACCTGAAGCAGGACAGACAGAAGGACTAATGGACGGATGAACGAACGGACGCACAGAACAAACAAGCATTCTGTGAGTATTGCATGGCAATACATAGTCCCCTACCGGTTACAAATTTATTGTAATGGAACGAAATTCTAACTTGATCTATAACTTTTCATGGTGTAAACTACATAAAAATATCAAGTCAAAATCTTCAAGCATGACGAAAAAAACTGTTGAAAACTGATTATTTAAGTGAATTTTCTATGTCCAAAGACCATAACTCTGCACAAAATTATCAGACTGGAACAAAATTCCAACTTGATCTGTAACTTGTCATGATATACTAATTGTCAAATCAATATCTCCAAGAATGACAAACAAACCTACCACTAAATTCTTCAAACAATTTACCAAAGAAAAGGAAAAAAATCCAAAATGTCATTTTGTCTTTTAAAAAATGAGTTACTAGTATTTCCCTTTGAACAGAAATCTGTTAATTAATAAGTATTTCATCAAAAATTTAATTCTAGGGAAAGGGCTTTAACTGAACAAAGAGAAAAGCTAAAATCGTGAAAATTGAACTTGACCTGTAACTTGTCATGATAAATCAATAAACCAAATATCAAATCAATACCTTCAAGCACTAAGAAAAAAAGTCTGGAAAACTGATTTGCCGGACTGACAGACAGACACACAGACAGACAGACGGAGTGCAAACCTAAAGTCCCCTTTGACTTCGTCGGTAGGGGACTAAAAACATAATGCCCCTAGGTGGGGCATAAAAAGCCTGATAGCTTTAGGGACAAAGATGGTCATTGATATCAGTGCTCTTTCCATCTCATTAGACCTACCCATAGCAGTCCATGCTAATCCTGTGACAACCCCTGGTGGAGTTGTATTATACATCCTGTCTGAAGTAAATAATGGCTTCCCTACATAGTCTGATAAATTATCTGTAGATATCTCTATATTTTCTGTGTTTTCCTTAACCATTTTTAGTGCTGCTTTCCTAAATATCTGTAAACAATACATATCATTTCATAAACTAGGCATAATTTTTTTTCTCAGTTATATATAATAAACTGCTGTCAACTGTCACAAATCGAACACATAACATCCATGATCAGCAATAGAGAGAGAACTTGCTGTACATCAATTTCAATTTTAAATGAACAAATGTTTGTCTTTTGATAAGAACTGTATGTTGACCTCTAAATGACTTTTGGTTATTTGTGTTCTTGGGTTACTGTCTCATTGATGAATACCTCATATATCCTATTATTAATATTAAACATGCTAGTGACTTTACAGATAGGCAGAAGAATGAAAATCACAAATTACAGATAAATAGAACACCACATTTACAGATGGACTGAAGAATGAAAACCACAATATAACTAATTATCAGATATCAGTTTTCCCGTTTCACCTTGTTTACACCCTAGAAATGACAAGATTCTACATTTTTGACAGCAGAAATACTTGAGCTTATATCACACGATATTTTTACGCAAAAATCTTTAGTTTTGTTAAAAGGATATTATAAAATGTCACATGCTTGACTTAATCCATTTGCAGAAAACAGGTATCTTATAATGGGCTTATCAATGTATTTTGCCTGCATACTGTTGCAGATGAAGAGCAAAAATTACTATGTCCAAAAAACTAAATAATACCTTTTCAACCTGCTTTTGTAGATTTCTAACACCACTCTCCCTACAGTATTGTTTTATTAAAGTATTCATGGCATCATCTGATATAGAAACACCCTCTTTACTAATTCCAGTATGTTCCTGGGCTTGCGGCACTAAATATTTCTGAAATATAAATGTACATACGTTATACATTCCATCAACTTAACAGTTCAATTTGGCTGTAAATGATAACATTTAAATATATACTTTCATTTCATTGGTGGAAATGATGGAATTCTCAGTATTTGTCAGATAAATACTTGGTATTATATTTATTAATAAAAAAATAAAAATCTTGGGAATATGATGCACCAGTGAGCTTTGATTGATTGATTGATTGGTGTTTAACATCGCTTTCGGCACTGTTGGCTATATAGTGGCGACCAGCTTTTATTGGTGGAAGAAAGCCCGAGTGCCCAGAGAGAACCACAGCCATTGGTAGGAAAACTGACAATCGTAGTCAATTAAGATTGGAGTCAAAAGCACCTGCCAGCGCAAAATAATTTGATTTTTTTTTGCTAAATGTACTTCACTAAGTTTATCATACTAAACACTACCTACCTTTATCATACTTAACACTACCTACCTTTATCATACTAAACACTACCTACCTTTATCATACTTAACACTACCTACCTTTATCATACTTAACACTACCTACCTTTATCATACTAAACACTACCTACCTTTATCATACTAAACACTACCTACCTTTATCATACTTAACACTACCTACCTTTATCATACTTAACACTACCTACCTTTATCATACTTAACACTACCTACCTTTATCATACTAAACACTACCTACCTTTATCATACTTAACACTACCTACCTTTATCATACTTAACACTACCTACCTTTATCATACTAAACACTACCTACCTGAGCTATAGCTAATTTTTCTTCTGCTACATAACCAGAAACATCTATCATTTCCATTCTGTCTTTAAGTGGTTCTGGGATTGTATCTGTCACATTGGCAGTGCAAATAAATAATACCTTAAATTATAAATTATTTTCAAATTGTTTTAAAACAATAAAACTAGTTTTAAATCTAAATGAATGTTTATTAAAGCAAATAGTGCAACCTAATCAGACAATGATGAAATTAATATCATAATGAAATTATAAATATAAGTCTCAGTTAATACTGTTTAACTGCTGACTAAAAAATTAAACAATAACATCTGTTATAGTTAATTGGGTTGTAAAATAGACAACTGTGTTTGTTTTGTTTTTTTAAGTCATGCTGTTGTATAAATAGGGTAAATATTTCATTGGTCATAAAGTATGACACGGAAACAGTTGATTTTCAATATTTTTTTAATTTTAAATCCTCTTAAAAAGTAAATATCAAAAGGTCTTTGTATGTATCAGTAATACACAGTAAATCGAGACTGCATAAGAAATAAAATGCAAGCTTTTCAATCAAATTTGGATCATTTATTTTAAGTATATTTCAGAAAAAGTTGCAAGGATAATCAAATGCAATCAATTTTAGCAATGCATGGGTGGTGGACCATTTAGTAAACATTTGCATAGACGGTGGAGGTGAGGAAAAATGTCATCACAAAACAGTCTTCACTGTACCTGTAGAAAACTTATTCCAAACAGAATAGCACATCCTAATTTTTTACAGGAATGTTGTTTACTGGGACTGGAAATTTCGGTACAATCCAGGTAAACTTATCAATCATATATATAAACTTATTCTAAAAGGTTACCAATTCAACACTTTAATTAGATATTTGAAAATTGTTTTTATTGGTATAAATATTGATTATGTTATCAGTAAATTAAAACCATACTAATTATTATTGTTATACACACATGCACATTCACGGTACTACAATCTGTCGATACCTATATTTTGGCATTGCACAAGGTCATGTTTTTCTCTGACTGTTAATGACATCTTTACACTAAATCCATTGGATGTTGGATGAGTACTGATTGATATTTTAGTCTTAGATACCTGATTTTTTTATTAGTTGTTATTGGCTTTGAACTAGATGCAGTAACGGTGTGTACATACTCTCAGAACTTCACTTAGTGTCTTTTTTTGATGTGGGATGTATAGATTAGCTGCCACGTCCGGTCTGTGTTTTCATTAGATGTTTTCTGCTTTGTATGGATCTGATGAGTTATAAATTAGGCAGTTAGTTTCAATTGAATTGTTTCATATTTTTCATGTCGAGGCCTTTTATAGCCGACTATACGGTATGGGTTTTTCTCATTGTTGTCGGCTGTACGGTTGCCTATAATTGCTTACATCCACTTCATTTAAATTTGTACTTTGGTGGATATTATCTCATTGGCAATCATACCACATCTTCTTATTTTCATATTACTAGTTAAAATGTAAAAATGGTAACTTACTTTAGAACAATCAACTGTTACGTCAAGATAATGGTCAAGGAAGTTAGCATTTTGTTCAGGATCTAGTAACTCAAGTAAAGCTGAAGCGGGATCACCTTGGTAACCTTTACCTATCTTATCTACCTGTAAATATACAGAAAACTTTAAAAATTAACAACTAACTTATATTTATGTAAATCTCTTCTATTATCAAAACCAATCAATTATTGGGATGGTTTCATTTATTTTTCACATGTCAAACGTTTGTAAATGGAACTATTCAAGTCATGATGGTTCCAAGTATGAATTTTAATCCTATGCTTCCACGACATCAGCATGTAAAAGTTGAAACCAAACATAACCAAATTTCTGTTTTCATTAATATTACACAAATAATTTGTTATCATTATTTGATTTAAAAATAAATGGAGAATGTGTCTATGGGCCACAGATGCCCCCGCTTGTAAATATGCATAAGTCAACTTCCACATACAGATGCAGGACTCACGTAGTTAAGACCATTTTTTTATTATAAGCATTGTGTATAAGTTTCATAACATTTGGTTTAGGCAAACTAAAGCAATTTTTCCATTTATAAAGGGGCATAATTCAAGAACGGTAAAAGTGACGCCATCCAATTTCAATCTTGATCTGTGTTTTGTGGTAATAAGTATTGTGTATAAGTTTTATAACATTTGGTTGAGGCCAACTAAAGTTAGAGAAAGGAAACGAAAATTTCAGCATTTTTCATGTATATAAAGGAGCATAACTCATGAACGGTAAAAGTGACGCCACCAATTTCGAATTTGATCTGTGTTTTGTGGTAATAAGCATGGTGTTTAAGTTTTATAACATTTGGTTGAGGTGAACTAAAGTTAGAGGACGGACATGGGTAACACTTAATGCCCCCTCAGTTACGGCGGGGGCAAAAAAAAAAAAATTAAAAAACAGTTTACACGAGAAGTTACAGTTCTGTTAGACAGCCAGTTGTTAAAAAGACTACACGCGAGTTAAACTGTCAACAATAAACCAGTAGTTTCAGGTGCTGGCCTCTATAGCTTATTCATTATAATGTCAAGTTATTGGTAGCTTTGTTCTCTACAGCAACACGTTTCTAATCACTGGGTTTTACCCAAATAAAACTGAAAAAGACATATGGGCCTGCTTGAACTCATATACAGAAAATTAAAATTTCAGTTTTCGCGTGGAAAAATATCACAAATTACTCGCAATAGATAGGAAAATGTATGTATCCATCCTTGGTGCAATCATCAGATAACAGGTTGATATCCAGTTGAAATTAAACAAAAGAAACAAAACTCTTTATTAGAGAAGGTAAACAAGAGGCTCTCAAGAGCCTGAATCGCTCACCTGTATTTCAGAGAAGATTTTTAAATGTGAGCAAACTTGATGAACAAATTGTGTAAAATTGACTTTAAAGGGCAATAACTCCTTAAGTGGTCAATTGACAATTTTGGTCATATTAACTTTTTTGTAGATCTTACTTTGCTGAACATATTGTGGCAGCAACCCAACAATGGGTTGTTCAATTCGTCTGATAATTTCAGGGCCGATAGATCTTGACCAATTAAACAATTTTACCCCATGTCACATTTGCTCTAAAAGATTTAGTTTTTGAGATATAAGCCAAAAACTGCATTTGACCCTTATGTTCTTTTTTAGCCATGGCGGCCATGTTTGTCGATGGATACAAACTTCGGATAAAATTTATAAACAAGATACCCTAAGGAACATTTAGTTAAAGTTTGAAGGTAATTGGCCCAATAGTTTCAGAGGAGAAGATTTTTAAATGTTATCAAACTTGATGAACTAATTGTGTAAAATTGTCTTTAAAGGGCAATAACTCCTTAAGGGGTCAATTGACAATTATGGTCATATTAACTTTTTTGTAGATCTTACTTTGCTGAACATTATTGCTGCTTACAGTTTATATATATCTATAATAATATTCAAAATAAAAACAAAAAACTGCAAAATTTTGTTAAAACTACCAATTCGGTGGCAGCAACCCAACAATGGTTTGTTTGATTCGTCTGAAAATTTCAGAGCTGATAGATCTTGACCAATTGAACAATTTTACCCCCATGTCACATTTGCTCTAAAAGCTTTAGTTTTTGAGATATAAGCCAAAAACTGCATTTGCCCCCTATGTTCTATTTTTAGCCATGGTGGCATGTTTGTCGCATTTGCTCTAAAAGCTTTAGTTTTTGAGATATAAGCCAAAAACTGCATTTGACCCCTATGTTCTATTTTTAGCCATGGTGGCCATGTTTGTCGATGGATCAAAACTTCGGATACAACTTATAAACTAGATACCCTAAGGAACATTTAGTTAAAGTTTGAAGGTATTTGGCCCAGTAGTTTCAGAGGAGAAGATTTTTGAAATAGTTTACGACAGACGACGACGGACGCCAAGTGATGGCATAAGCTCAAATGGTTTTCAGGCCCCGGTGAGCTAAAAAGGCCAAGTTGGTATATTTGAACTGTTTACATCTGTTTATATGGGCTTTAAAAGTTAATGTAGGTGCATAATTTAGGATTTAATGCATCTTATATACGTGTTTTTACTTAAATTATAGTATGGAGCTTCCAGATATTTGTACACTTTTAAATTAAAGACAAATTTCCATAAAACAGTAGATTGAGGTAGGTGCAAATACATGTGGATCTTTTCTGTGCATAAGCACAGAAATTGGGCCGAAAAAAATTCCACAGAAAGATAAAAGATTGATCTTTTTAAAGCATTAATTAGCATCTCTGCCCGAGGCGACAGTTTTTGGGAAAAAAATCCTAAAAATGGGCAATAATTTCATCAAAAAGAGAAAGTCGAGTACACTTTTTTATGTTCAGGTGTGTTTGAGTCGACTATTTTGTATTGAAAACGTATCAAGCAAAAATATTTGATATATCTTCTCGATTCAGATTCTTTTATTTTTAAATATTTAGGCTACAGGTTGATAAAATAACATTAAAAACTCACAGTACTGAAAAATGAAATATATGGGTCAAGTGAAATACCTTTCTAATGAGTCATAAACACAGAGTGGGTGTGTTTGAATAACAAATTTTAACTAAAAGTACTTGACGACAGACTTTAAAAGAGGATCTTAACAACGTATAACTTCAAAAAAAATGAATTTCATTTTTTGTGTGTATGATCTAGGGTAATTAATCTTCAACCTCTGAAAATTTTTAGTCTGCCCTTCCATGAAATATTCAATTAGAACTTTTTTTAGTGTTTTTGAATTTTCGAAAATACCGATCAGACAATAGTTTAAAGATGAATAAAGGCCTAAAAGAACATTAAATGATGCTTAATAGCTAGAAGATGCATTTGTCTTTTAAAATACTATTGTCATATGAGGATCGTAATGATGCTATGTGGATAAATTTATCGGTTTTCGAGAGCTAAATTGACAGCGTGTCATCTCTACAAGGCTTCTATTTTTACGATAGAAAAAGTTAGGTGGCGTAATGGGGAGATAACTTTGACGAAGTAGAATCCTGACTGATAAAAAGGTACTGTGTAGATCTTTCAAGTAGACATACATCTCATAATAGTACTTACCTCATCAATAAGTACAAGTGGATTTTCAGTCTTTGTTTTCTTTAAACACTGTATCATTTTACCTGGCATCGCTCCAACATAGGTCCTCCTGTAAACAGGGTCAAAATATTAACTCCTTCATTTGTGTATAAATTATAAAGTATTGCGACAATAGAATTAAATCAATATTTGAAAATTTTACATTTAGCTACAAAATACACATTTTTTTTGGGTGAATGCTCTCAATCTTTAAAAATGTAAAATTTATAAAATTCCAGAGGGAGCTTAATACATCAATAGATATAAACAATTCACCAAAGTTTCATAAGAACTGCTGAGCATTTTTGAGTTTTTGTCCGAAAACTGGAAAATCCCCCTTTTTTTATGAATAAAACCCTGCAACTCGGAAACGTTAAATCTAAAATTTATAAAAATCGAAAGGGAGCTCATGTCAATAGATATAAACAATTTACCTCAATTTCTTGCCAGTTGGTGAAAGCATTCTTGAGTTATTGTCAGAAAACAGGAAAATCCCCCTTTTTTTAATGAATAAAACCCCATAACTCGGAAATGCAAAATCTAAAATTTATTAAAACGAAAGGGAGCTCTCGTCAATAGATATAAACAATTCACTAAAGTTTTATGCAAATTGGTTAAAGCATTTTTGAGTTTATGTCCGACATGTTGACGACGGACAGACGGACGGACGGACAGAGGTATACCATAATACGTCCCGTAAACGGGCGTAAAAAAAAACAACAGATTATCTGTTTATTTTCAACAGAAATTTTAAAAATAATAGTCATTCTTGTCTAAAAACAGACTATCTGTTTATTTTCAAAAGAAATTTTAAAATAATGGTCATTCTTGTCTATTAATAAGTATTTCTACCCATTTGTAACACATCAGTTTACATAGATAAATGAATGAAAGATAAAAAGATTCAAATCACTTTTATGCTTCTTTTTTATTTGCATGATAGTCCCACTAAAACTTATCTACCAACTTGTCAACAAGGATTTCAGTTTCAGCATACCTGATATATGCACACAAAAAAATTGTTTGTCACAAATCACTTTTAAATGCTTGTAGGTTTAATACTATTGCCTTTTCCAAATTTAAGACCCTACTAGAAATTCTTTATCATTGTACCATGAAAATTACCTATGTCCTTTGATTTCAGCAACATCAGTCATACCTCCAACACTAAATCTGTAATACTGAAAAAAAATCATTTAACATTTATGACTTTCTATCCATGAGTAAGCTATTGGTTTACAATTCTAAATTTATATTATTAGTATGCTGCAGGATATAAAAATGACTAAGTTTTACAGAAACTTAAGAGTATAAATTTATCTAATACTTTGTTAATACATTTTTATATACATCGACTCTCCAATTATTTTACAAAATATTGCTTAAACTTTCTTGACATGAATCTTTCATTTCTTTTCAGACTGAACAAAATTCATACATGTAGCACATTCATGGTTATCATTCATTATCCCAGAACAGAACAGTTTATTTAATATATGATATGTTCTTGTAATCTGATGAATTAACAACAACATTTTTTGTCTCATTATATAGTCCTTTAGCAATTGAAATGGCTATAAATGTTTTCAACTTGGATAACCAGACTATGTACCTGTCTGTTTAATTAATTGATTGATTGGTATTTAACGCCAATTTCAACACTATTGTGCTATTTCGTGGCGGTCGGTTTTTATTAGTGGAGGAAGCCAGAGTGCCCCGAGAGAACCACAACCTTCGGTAGGAAAACTGACAATCCTATTCAATTAAGATTGGAGTCGAGTGCACCTGCCCTGTGCGGGATTCGAACTCACAACCTCAGTGTTGACTGGCTAGTGATACAGTAGTTTGAATACTTAGACCACTCGGCCTCCAAGGCCCCTCTGTCTGTTTAAAGGTAAAGCAATAGATAAGGATATACTTCTTCTTGTTTTCTCTTTTGAAATATTTCACAGTTTGTAATGTCGATGCCTTTTATAGCTGACTATAGTTTATGGGTTTTGCTCACTGTTGAAGGCTGTATTGTGACCTATAGTTGTTTACATCCATGTCATTTGGACTTTGGTGGATAGATGTCTCATTGGTAATTATATCACATCTCCTTATTTGTATATGAATTTATATATTATTGGAGGACCAGAATGCTCTACACTCTATATAAGGCTTAACCAATAGAATTGGCTATACTTGTTTTATATAAAGTTGGAGAACCAGAATACTCACCTCTCTATTTAAGGCTTTAGCAATAGATCTGGCTATACTTGTTTTCTATATAGTTGGAGAACCAGAATACTCACCTCTCTATTTAAGGCTTTAGCAATAGATCTGGCTATACTTGTTTTCCATATAGTTGGAGAACCAGAATACTCACCTCTCTATTTAAGGCTTTAGCAATAGATCTGGCTATACTTGTTTTCCATATAGTTGGAGAACCAGAATACTCACCTCTCTATTTAAGGCTTTAGCAATAGATCTGGCTATACTTGTTTTCTATATAGTTGGAGAACCAGAATACTCACCTCTCTATTTAAGGCTTTAGGTGTAATACCACCAAATCATAGTACGTCACATCCGGTTGCATACGAAAATAGGTCGAAAAAAAATATTCCCTTGAATTTGACAGTTGTAGGTAATTGATCCTACATTTCATTGCAGTAAAACATTTCTGAGTCATAAACATATATCTTGGGTATTTCAAAGCACCATTATTTCTTTATTTGGGGTTTCAATAGAATATTTTGGAAACTTGAGGTTACATGGTTACTAAAGCTTGTACACAGGTTAAAAAAGGGGGAAAATTTGATTGGTTAACTTCCAGTGATGGTTATTTTCTTATATGCAATGAAATGTTATGTGAAATTTTTTCTATAGTACTGGACAGGATAAAACTTTACTCATGCCAAGTATTTCTTTATTTGAAACAAAGATAAATTCTGCACAATTTTTTGAAAAGTGCAAATTTAACAAAGACTAATAGGGGAAAATCAATGGTGGTATTACACCTAATATGGGAAGCTGTACATGCACCTTTGACCTTGTGAGTACTCTCATGTGTTAAAATTTCTTGCTATTTAAGTGAAATATTACAAATAATGAAATATTCTGAGTGGATTGAGTCTCCAAAATACATTTTATGAGAAAATTTCCTTGAAATAGGACTTTACCATGAATATTAGTTGACAGAACAAGCCATACTTAAGAGTCTTGGGGAGCTTTTTCTCCTTATTTCTTATATTCTGCTATACTAGAAAATTTTTCCTAAGAAATACTTTAATAAATATATAGTTTTAAGTAAATGAAATTATTTTTAAAGCAGTAACAACAAATTATTCACCAAAAGAGAAGTTTTTTATGTCCCTCTCTGGAACGCGGCGTAAATTTAAGTTTTACGCAAGGACTTATTGAAACCTCCTTGGAGACAGTAAACTTTTATACGGATAGTTCAAGCAACTTGAATACTTCAATTAATCATTTATAATAACATTCCTATCATAAATGAGTGAAAGTTACCCCAAAATTTTTATTTATTGGCTTAAAAAGTAGAAATTTTGAGGAAATGAGAGGTATAAATGGACCAAAAGAGACTTTATAAGGAAGAATAAGAGGTCCATTAGTAGTATTTATCATCCTAAAGTCATCTTTTGTATCATATTCAACTGTTTGTAGGCAGATGAGATAAATATTTGATCATTTATTGGTCCACACTATATTCTATCATGATGCGGCTTGGTTTGAATTTTTCGAAGAAATTTTGCTCGAATCGCTGTAGATGTCGTCTTACATTATACTAGATTTTTCTCAAACTATTGAACTGATTATGACAAAACTTGACAGGAATGCTTGAAATAACCAGTATTACAAAGGAAAAAAGTCACATTCAGTTTATTCAACAAAAAAGTCTTCTTTAGGTGTAATACCATCAAATCATAGTACGTCACATCCGGTTGCATACGAAAATAGGTCGAAAAAAAATATTCCCTTGAATTTGACAGTTGTAGGTAATTGATCCTACATTTCATTGCAGTAAAACATTTCTGAGTCATAAACATATATCTTGGGTATTTCAAAGCACCATTATTTCTTTATTTGGGGTTTCAATAGAATATTTTGGAAACTTGAGGTTACATGGTTACTAAAGCTTGTACACAGGTTAAAAAAGGGGGAAAATTTGATTGGTTAACTTCCAGTGATGGTTATTTTCTTATATGCAATGAAATGTTATGTGAAATTTTTTCTATAGTACTGGACAGGATAAAACTTTACTCATGCCAAGTATTTCTTTATTTGAAACAAAGATAAATTCTGCACAATTTTTTGAAAAGTGCAAATTTAACAAAGACTAATAGGGGAAAATCAATGGTGGTATTACACCTTTAGCAATAGATCTGGCTATACTTGTTTTATATATAGTTGGAGAACCAGAATACTCACCTCTCTATTTAAGGCTTTAGCAATAGATCTGGCTATACTTGTTTTATATATAGTTGGAGAACCAGAATACTCACCTCTCTATTTAAGGCTTTAGCAATAGATCTGGCTATACTTGTTTTATATATAGTTGGAGAACCAGAATACTCACCTCTCTATTTAAGGCTTTAGCAATAGATCTGGCTATACTTGTTTTACCAACACCTGGTGGACCATAAAAACATAATATTTTTCCTTGTGTTGATTTTTTTAACTGGCTAACTGCTATAAATTCCTTTAAAATAGAAAAATATAGAGTAATGACATATACTTGCAAGCAATATGAAAAATTGAATACTGTTAATTCAGACATTATTAAGAGGTTTTTATTAATGCGAATAATGTGACTGGATGAGTATGGCAATAATAAAAACTCACATTCTGATATGGGTTACATATAACTGTATGCAGTAAGTTATATGCAGTATGAGATTAATCTATCATTTTTGTCCTTTCTTCAAAAATCACAATAACTGAGTACAGTTGAAGTACTTCTATAATTAAGATTCTGAGAATATTTCACAAAATTCTGTCAAGTGATACAGAAGCAGTAGCAGTTACAAAAGTGGGACAGAAGAAAGAACAGACAGATGTGCAGACTACTGGACATATGAACATCTGCATCACTTCATACCCCCCACATGAAAAAAAATCAAAGTATGTTAACAAACTGTCTTAAGATTATTGAAAAAACATAACCTACCAATGATAGTTTTTTCAACTTTGAAAATAGAATTTGAAACTTTTCATGATATCACACTATTATCAAATAGATATTTTACAGTACTTATCCAGTTATTTTTTTCAAACAAAGAACATGTATCAACAACCCAAAACAAGGTTCTTACGAAAATAGTCAGCTTTTTAATAAATATACCTTGCTTTTTATACTTTTAACCAAACAAAATCCATTGTTTTTCCTACTCACAAGAATTCTATTTTTAACATCTTCCATTCCATAATGATCTTCCTCCAACACTTCTTTGGCTTGTTCTATTTCCAAATTTTCTTCACTATATTTACCCCAGGGTAAATTGGTTAACCAATCAAGATAATTTCTTGTTACACTGAAATAAAAATGCAAGTTTTTAACATCTTATTTTCATCTACAATTAATAAGGACAAAAGTGTATTTAAAATAACAAATTTCAAGAGGATCTGATAAACAAGAGGCTCCTATAAGACTGAATCATTCATCTGTCAAAAATATAATATATTTACAGGCTGAAATTGGTCCAGTTGTATCAAAGGATAAGACTACAATGATGGGCACAAAGTTATGGCAAAAGCTTGAATGGCCAATACAACCAGGCAAGCTAAAAATGAGGTCACTATCCTGGTAACAGTAATTAATGTGTGATATTTTTACAAGCACCCCCCTCCCCTCCCCCCCCAACCCCCTCCAAAAGAAATGGTCCCCCTATTTCAGATTTTTCTGATTATTGATCTCCAAGGTTTGGATGAGTAGAAACCTTAATACAAATTTCATGCAGATCTGATAAAAATTAAGGGGCTTTCCCTACGACAAGAACTAATATGGGGTAGTGAGACAACCTCCCTCCCCAAAATGGTCCGAGATTTAAAATTTTTCTATTTATAAACTCATATGAGTTTTGATGATTGGAAACCTTTATACAAATTTTAAATATATCGGATAAAAAAAGAAAAATAGGTGTAATCAAGGCGAAGGGAATTAAAAAAATTCGTAAAGGTTTCACGGAACCCAGTGTCTCGCCTACTTTTACTGTTAATCGCAGGCTCAACAAAAATGAGGAAGTAAATCAATAAAAATATTCCTCTTGATACTATCTTTTGATTGTAAGAAGCTTCTGTCCAAGTTTGGTAAAAATCCAGGATAGTTTATGAATCTAATAAATGTTTAAAAACTTTAACTGCAGACTGAATGTAATGTTAACTGGAAGAAAACAAAATTTCCTTCTAGATACTAGCATTTGATCATAAACAAGCTTCTGTCCAATATTTGGTACAAATCCAAAATAGTATAAGAAAGTTATTAAAATTTTAAAAACTTTAACCACAGAGTGAATATGTTGTTTCCTGGCAGAAAATCTAAGTCCATTTAAAAGTAAAATACGGAAAAAATGGATTTATTTTTTTACAAAATTTCCTTCTAGATACTAGCTTTTGATCATAAACAAGCTTCTGTCCAAGTTTGGTACAAATCCAAAATAGTATAAGAAAGTTATTAAAATTTTAAAAACTTTAACCACAGAGTGAATGTGTTGTTTCCTGGCAGAAAATCTAAGTCCATTTAAAAGTAAAATAAGAAAAAATGTATTTATTTTTTTACAAAATTTACTTCTAGATACTATCTTATGATCATAAACAAGCTTCTGTCCAAGTTTGGTACAAACCCAGGACAGTTTAAGAAAGTTATTAAAATTTTAAAAACTTTAACCACAGAGTGAATGTAATATTTCCCGGCAGAAAAACTAAGTCCATTTATAAGTAAAATACAGAAAAAATGGAATTTTATTTTTACAAAATTTACTTCTGGATACTATCTTATGATCATAAACAAGCTTCTGTCCAAGTTTGGTAGAAATCCAGGATAGTTTAAGAAAGTTATTAAAATTTCAAAAACTTTAACCACAGAGTGAATATTTGTGGACGCTGCCGACGACGACGACGGAATGTAGGATCGCTATGTCTCGCTTTTTCGACTAAAGTTGAAGGCTCGACAAAAAGCATATTTTGACTAGTAGCAACATATCTTTTTTGGTTAGGATGTTGCTCATATCTAAATATAAATACCAAGATCTCAAAATGAGACTTTTCTGGCAGTTTTTTGTGGATTCTAAAATTTAAGAGTTTGAAGGCTGAAAGCAAAAAAAAAAAGATAAATTCAAAACTATAAATCTGTCAAGACTAATGTCTTATGAACATCTTACTTGAATTCTGATGAATGTTGATCCAGGAAACTAAGTTTATTAGTTTCTTCATCAATGACTTCCATCACATGTTTGGGAACTACTAAATCCTACAATATATAATAACATAATTATGCTCCTCCACTAAGAAAATACAGAATTTGTATTATCCTTATAGTTCAGTAAAAATTACTTAAAGTAAATAGTTTATCAAGTGTCATAATCTTTTAGGTCCAACTTACATCTAATAGTGATTTTTGAAAAGATAATAATTTACAGCAAATGAATTATCTTCAAGTTCAGAAATTGAGTACATAATTCTAAAGATGCAAAAACTGTCGAAATTTTAAATCAATTACTTCCTCTTGTGTTTTTAAGACAAGTACATGTATGTTTGTGCTGGTATCATTTTTTCCAATCAAAATAAAACAATTTGATGTGTTGAAAATAAAAAGTGATGCTTGAAATGAAAGGAGATGGTTTAATGCCATTGAAGTGGACACACACTGATTGATATTTGAGTCTTAGATGCATGATTTTTTTTATTAATTGTTATTGGCTTTGTAACTGCAAGTACTCTCAGATCTGTACTTAGTGTCTTTTTGTTGTGGGGATGTATAAGTACCGTGCCACGTTCACTCTGTGTTTTTGTTAAGATTCATTTCTGCTTTGTATCCATCTGATGAGGTAAGCTCTTTTCAACTGATATTTATAGTTTGTATTTATGTTGTATTGTTTCACCACTGTCCCAGGTTAGGGGGAGGGTTGGTGCCTTCAAACTAGTTTAACCCCACCACATTCTATATGTGCCTGTCCCAAGTCAGGAGCCTGTAATTGAGTGGTTGTCGTTTATTGCTGTTTCTTATATTTGTTTTTCGTTTAACGTTTTGTATAGTTTGTTCTTGTATTATGACGTTGCACCACAGATCCAGGTTAGGGGGAGGGTTTGGCGCCAGCAAACTAGTTTAACCCCGCCACATGCTGTATGTGTCTGTCCCAAGTCAGGAGCCTGTAATTCAGTGTTTGTCGTTTGTTGCTGTATAGTGTTTCCCCTATCACAGAAAAAGGGCATCTAGAGTGTGCAAAAATTTATAAAAAGGGCACCTACAGTGTATTGAAAATTAACAAAAGGGCACCTACAGTATACTGAAAACATGAAAGGCAATAAATTGTCATATTGCATTGGTAAAGTATGGACTGGCAGTTGTTGATGGAATTAGAACTCAAGATAGCAAGTGTATTGTTTCAAAATAATATTGTATATGCATCTTTAAATAAAGATGAAAATCAACATTATTCCGGATAACAGCAAGGGACCAAAGATGTATGTATATTACTAGCTATACATCTTTGTCAGACTTTGAAGGACTAATGCATAAATTTACTAGGCAGTAATAACATGATTTGACTGATGTGGCACTTAAATATGAAGATTAGGATATAAGATCTGAAAATCTAGTTCAAAATGTCACTTCAATCAGTTTCAGGGGACAGTTCTGATCAACAAAAGTTGGGCCTCTTTTTTTAAACCAGGATTCACAGTATAAATGAACTTGTAGATATTTGTAAGACTATCACACTGCATAATCATTATCCTTATAAAACGTTTAGATCGATATTTAGAATTCATTTCTATAAAGTTGGAACCAAGGATTTGTACAAATTCTTATTGGAACGATTCTAATAACTGTAAATTGTAAATTAATCGAGAATTGATCACGTTTACTTTGATTTACAAATGAAATGTAAACGGGAAGTGACAAGTAGATAATAAATTCAAAATGAATCCGGATTCATCTACGGATTGGTTTGTTTTTAAAAAAGGCAGTAAATTATAATTTTTTTTAATATGATTTGCTTAGTAAGAACTATATTTGTCTCTCCAATTTATTTTAAACTAAATTTGTTTCGTATTTTACGTTTTAGAGTCTATAAATTCATAGGAATACTTTCACGTATGCGCAGTATATCGTAAACAGTAAAAGAAGCACTTGTTTGACTCGTGACGAAACTATGACAAAAGAACTGCAAATTGTGAACGTTTTAGAAATATTGAAATTAAGTAGCGAACTGTCTGGGGGAAAACAATTTTGTTCAAATGACGAAACTACGACAAACGAACTTCAATTGTGGTCATTGGCCTTGAGAAATATTGAAATTAAAATGCCAACTGACTGATTTTACTGAGGAAAATTATTATGGTGGTCAATTATGAGGTTTATTAATAATTAACTGATTAGTGATCCATCCGATGGCGATAAGCGGATTAACTGTAATCACAACTTATAACACCTGTTGTAAATGTTAATTAGCTGAGTGTCATAAACTTGCCAGAAACATGAAGACAGGAAGAAAGGGCATTTTTTGAGACAATGGCGTCACCCAAAGAAGTGAAAAAATGGATTGGCGTCATTTATTAAGACAAAAAAAGGGCATGGCGTTATTTATATAGGGCATGGTGTCTATCCATGCTAAACATGCTTGGGGGAAACACTACTGTATATCATATTTGTTTTCTGTTCGTTATTTTGTACATAAATAAGGCCATTAGTTTTCTCGTTTGAAATGTCTTACACATGTCATTTCAGGGCCTTTTATAGCTGACTATGCGGTATGGGTTTTACTCATTGTTGAAAGCCTTAAGGTGACCTATAGCAAGGCTTCCAAAACGGTCATATATGCCGGACATTTGTATAATGTCCAGTAAACGTCCGGCTGGGCAAAGCATGAAACGGTCATCTACTTTTTAGTTTTCAAGGCTTTAAGAGACGGTCATTTTAACATAATTCGCGATCTTTTTGACCCAACGTTTTGCCTTTAAGTTTCAATAACAGCCAAACATTTCCGGTCATAAAAGTGACATGATCATTAAGTACTATCAAAACAACCCCTACTTTAATACCTTCTCATTTTAATCAAGGCTAATTAGTTGTCAAACAGCTGAAATTTACCTGTTCAGGTGACAGGTAAACTATTTTGAACCAGACATTGATCGGTCTATTCTAAGTTATTTTCTTACATTTCAGCGGTTTCCATCTAATTAATTTAGTCAAAAAGATTTAAATTATCAGAAATACGTTTACAAATATGATTTGATGAAAATATTAAAAAATTGAAAATGAAAAATCGTCACAACCACGTTGTTTGAACCTAGAGACATGTCTCTGTTTGAACTAGTACATGTGTGCGCATGTGCGCAGGTGTGAAATTTAATTATGCATCCTAATTTCTTCAAAAATGCTTAAATTGTCATTGATACCTTTATCTCACGTTAATTTCGAATATTTTCTTGAAGAAATAACGTAGAAAGAGCTACTTCAACTCATTCACGTTTTGCAAACGTACACGGAATTAACGTATCCGTCTCTGGTCCATGTTTTACCATTGTTAAAATAACATCCGGTATAAAAACGAAAGTAAAGTTTTTGACAACGTTATTTTGCACAAATAAAGAGTCTAAGGCAGATATAAGTACACTGATGTTGCACACTTCGAATGATGCACTGCCAATTTAACAGTTTACGTCAGAACTTTGAATTTGAATCAAAGAAAGTTTAATATCGTTTTTTTTAATGTCAATCATTGGGATGGCCAACTCGGCAACTGATTACCATAATTGCCTTTTGTTTATTTAGTCTTAAGGGATTAAAATCGTGATAATATATAAAATGTCCGGCTGGCTAAAAATAATTTTGGAAGCCCTGACCTATAGTTGTTAATTTCTGTGTCATTTGGTCTCTTGTGAAGAGTTGTCTCATTGGCAATCATACCACATCTTCTTATGTTTATAAACAGGTTAAACGAAAATTGATGGCACAGTATTTATTTGGCCCAATTTCTTGTTGGAACAGAAATTTCAGGAAAAAAATCTTTCAATGGGTCATGTGACATATAGTAGAAAGTTTCAATTATGTTCTATACTTAGGTACTGTTACAAAAGTGTCAATATTTATTTATTGCAGTGTTAGTTGCATACCTTTATTCTTTCTTTAAACTTTTCTTCCAGAGCATCTTTATCTTCTTTCTCAATACCTAAGTCTCTTTTTATAACCTTTAATTGTTCTCTTAAAATATATTCTCTGTGTTGTTTCTGGACTTTCTCTTCAACCTACATTATAAAATGAGGAAAATGTAAGTTCATTTTAGCATGATTTATAAAAGGTTTAATTTTTTATCTTGAAATACATCAATCAAACAATAACTATCAACATTTGATTTAAAAATGGTCCAAAGTAAGAATCATTCTTCCAGTACAAGTTTTAGGTAGAAATGGACAAAAAAGTGATATCAATTTTTGCAATTTTAGAAAATAATGCATATAAATAATGTTATCAAAATTTAAATTATATTTTTGTTATTTTTTTCAAAACTTTTCCAGTCACAAATTTTGCCAGAATTTCAGAATTTTACAGTTGCACCTTTTTTTCTTTAGATTACCATACATGAAAGGTTATATAATTATTATGAACAAGAAAAAACAGATGCTTTAAAATTTCAGATATGTTTCCCATGAAATCTTTAAGAAAAATCATGTTATAGTTAATTCACTGTTACTGGTAAATTTTAGCAATAATCAAATTAACCAATTGTATTTATATATCAAATGGTACTTTCTTGTTATTAAAAGACACTTAAATAATGCCTACTAGGACCCACATATTAGGTAATAAAGTGTTGTTGTAAAACTCAACATTTCTGTTTAAAGACTCATGTTTCATTTCAGTTATTTAAAGTTCTGAGTTTATACACTTCTTTCAATCATCTTACCTCTTTAACTATTTTTCTCTGTAGTTTACAAACATCATATTCTATTTTAAGTAGTTCATATGTAAGATATAATCTTTTTGATATCTAAAAAAAATAACACATCATCAATATTAGAGGTGTTTACTCTTACTATCTTATAAAAATTAAGAACATTACATTTTCTTTCAGATCTGAAATGATGAAAATTACTTGATCAAGGCACAATATTAATCTACTGGATTATATGATGTAGAATATTGTTAAAAAAAATCTGAAATCCTTAATTATTTTTAATAAATGTCTAATTAACCTATAGATATTTGTATTGCTGTCTCATTAAGATATGTGCCAAACATCTTCTTATATTCATATCTGCTTAAAATTCATTTTCATACATATGAAACTAAAAAACAATAAAATGCTCCGCTGGGCGCAGCTTGATACGACCGCAGAGGTCGAACCTGAACAGTTGGGGCAAGTATGGACACAACATTCAAGCTTGATACAGCTCTGAATTTGGATTGTGATTAAATATTTGACACAGCATAGGTTTCTGACACAGAATGAATGTGGTCTAAGAACTTAAAAAATTTTAATTTACCTATTCAAACCATATCATTATTATTTGCTTTTATATATAAATCAGAAATAACCAATTTAAAATGGAAAATTTTAAAGAAAAAAAAAGGAAAAAAAGGGAAAAAAAATCCTCCCCCGCCCCAATTTTTTGAACCCCTTATGATTCATCACCCCCAAACTCAATCCCAGCCTTCCCTTTGTGGTATGGTACCTTGCAGTACAATTTCAGAGAGATCCATACACTTGAACACAAGTTATTGTCTGGAAACTAGAAAAATGCTTGTTTTTTTGGCCCCAAATTCCTAAACATTTAGGGCAATTACCCCCAAACTCAAACCCAGCTTTCCCTTTGTGATATGGAACCTGTTAGTACAATTTCATAAAGATCCATACACTTACACACAAGTTATTGTCCTGAAACTAGAAAAATGCTTGTTTTTTGCCCCCTAATTCCTAAAATTTTGAGGCAATTACCTCCAAAATCAATCCCAGCCTTCCCTTTATGATATGGAACCTTGTGGTACAATGTCAGAGAAATCCATACACTTACACACAAATTATGTCTGGAAGTTACAAAAATGCTTATTTTTGGCCCCTTTTAGGCCCCTAATTCCTTAACTGTTGGTACCATAACCCCCCAAAATCAATCCCAACCTTCCTTTTGTGGTATTGAACCTTATGGTAAAATTTCATAGAGATCCATTCACTAAAACTAAAGTTAGAGTGCGAAAACCAATGTGTCTTCGGATGACGATGACAATGACGACGACGACAACAACGACGCCAACTTCATACCAATATACGACCGCAAAATTTTTTTGCGGTCGTATAAAAATGTGAAAAATATAAATCGACTTACATCTGTTTCCTCAAGAACTTTCTGTTGATCTTTTGCTTCAACTGAATTAAGTAGCTGAGCAGCTAAAATTAAAATTACACAGATTAAAAGGCACAATAATAAAGTCTTAAAAGAACAATTGTTAACTAAATATAAAAAAAAACACAATTGTATTTGTAGATTTTTTCAAAAAGATATTTTTAAATAAATTAGCAGCGTGAAAATGTTTTTGTTTTCTCTGACTTCCTAAACATTGGACTACAGAAATACACCGTAGGATACATCTGTTTACTTGTTCTTATCCTACCTCCCTTCGCAAATATCAACCTGTTCTTATCCTACCTCCATGCCCTATTATCCACCTGGTCAGTTGCTTCTTAATTCTCTCATCACAGCTTTGAGACATGAGCAGAACTAATCAATGACGGTGACATCATAATGTTTCAGGAGATGTTATCATTGATATTACAACTCAAGATGAAAAGTTATCAAGCCTAATACTGTCTAATGGAGGATATAAAAACCAGACCAAGCATGATAAACTGATTATCAGATTTTCGGTGTATAGACATTGTAAAATATTAGTCACAAGCCAGGATGTGAAGCTTTTGGCATGTGAGTGCAGCAAACAAGCTAAAATGTGCAGAAAACCAGATAACTTATTCATTTTAAAATTGAAAACCACAGAGTTTATTCAGTCCTGTACATAGATCACATGAAAAAACAGATGACCAACAAAAAAGTCTTTATCTAATACAGATAGTTACTTGGTATCTTACCTAGATCACACATAAACACAGGATCACCTGCAACTGAACCTTTATCTAAAATTGATAGTAACTGATCTCTGAAAAAGAAAAATATACAGCTGTTTAAACCCTGTGACTTTCTTCCTTTATCATCAAACAGTGAAAAGTTTTATACTCATATTTTCAAAAACTGACAGTGGTTTCAATTTTATGTATGATTAAATCCAGGAAAATCACACACAATTCATTACACAGCCTATTCATTCTCATTTTGACACCATGTCATTCTTCAAATTTTTCCCTTTGAATTTTCATCAAGGTAGCACGAGACTATCAACAATGATAGAATTTTTTAGACTTTGCCAGAATATATTTCATATCATGCCATTTTTTGTTGTATGTCCAAATCATAATAATGAAGTACGTAAATATTTCAGGACTTGTTTTCAAATCATTGGATCTAAAAATTCAATATTTGGCAATGATTACCTTAGAAAAAAAACATAAAATAGAATTTTTAAATACAACAGGAAAAGATAACTTTCAGAGGGAAAAAAATGGAGTCACCATTTTCGTTTCCTTGTTGCATAATAAAACAGTTACATATACAGTTCAACCTAAAAGAAAACTAAGTCAAGATAACCTCTCATCAAAAACTTAATTCTTCAAAAGTGTTCTTTTATTTCAGTAAAAATCGATACGGTTCATCAGAGATTAAAGATTGTCACCATAACTTTTCTTTTCCTATACTACCTCAATATTCTAATGCCATCAAATTTAGACACAGATAGTTACTCATATTGCAAGCTATCTCACAGATGTTTTCCACATTATAATATATAAAAAAACAAAGTAAAATAGTAATAACACATACCTATATAAATGATTCATCATAAGTATTTCTTGAATAGTTTTAACAATTTCTGCAGTAAGGGCCTGAAATAATGAGAAATAATATATATACATGTATGACTAACTTGAATTCACACAATCTAAAATCAATCCATTGCATCTACAATATTTCAAATGCTTTTAAAAAAAGATCTATCTTGAAAGTCACAATGCAGGAAAAAAAATGATGGATATTGAATCCCTGATATCTTTATAAATGTGTCAGTAAAAGATCTTAAAATAATGTGGAGACAAGTCATATCATTTAATACAGTGACAAAACTTTTTAAATTCTAAACTTGCACTATGGAAATGTTTCATGGGATGGGGAATTATATGCACTCTATATTGAAAAGTAGACTGTGAAGCATGTCACTCAAAATAGCTTACCTGCTATATGTAAAACTCATCTAAAAAGTATTCAGCAACACAAAAAAATGAATTCTTCAAAAGTTAGAAGAAATTCCAACAAAATACATTCTTTAACAGAAATAAGCACAAACCTTTATTTTTGTATCGCTAGTTAAAGGTAAATCTTTTATATTTTCTGTTTCCACCATCAAAACTTTTGGCATCTGTGGAGGTGTTACCACTATACCTTCCAGTAAATCATTAGACAATGGAGGGGGAGTGGGTGTGATCAGTTCAGGATTACCATTCTCATCTAAATCAGATGCTTCAATTGGCAGTATTGGAGCTGTATCATCCTTGGGATTATCAAGCAATGCATCAAGGACATTGTTTCTCCTTCGATTTTTTCTTTTACCTTTCTTTTTTGCTTCATCATCTTCAAAAGTTTATGAACTTAGTTAAATTAAAATATTTCATAATACATGTAGTTTAAAACTAAATTATGATGTACATGTATTATACTTTTCCAAAAAGTTCTACTTTACCATATAAAGCTTCAGACAAAAATTGGGACTGTACAAAGGAGATAACTGAAATGTGATGTTCAATATGTACTCAATTCCCATTATTCAATATGGTATGCTTTTTGCATCTTGAAACTGACACTGCTCAAGAACTAGCTTTTCTTTTTTTCTTCTTTGTACCTTAAAGAATATTGTCATAATTACCTGATTTCTGATCTTCAGTTAACACAGACTTAATCATAATTCTGTAAAACAAGGAAATAGTATCAATTGTGTGAAATTAAATCTTAAATTTGTAAATCATACATACATGTACATGACATAGTTTGTAATGCAAAAACCTGTGCATAAAATAATCAATCATGAATCAAACCTACCCTTGATCAAACAATTAACTGTTAATTTGCTTAGGAATATGATTATTCATATACTGTTAAAATTCAGAAATTAATGCTAAACATGCTTAATGTTGATTAAAGTACGCAGATTTGGTCCATCAACACGGCAGATTGATTATATCTTTTTTTATTTATCTTTTAGGGTGAAATAATAAACAGTATAATATTTGAAACTCTTAAATAGCAATAAATCTGGAATATGCAAAGAAATAACACAGGGTTAACATTTCACTTTTTTTTAACTGCTGCCACCAAATGAAATTAGAGCACACAGTGACACCATAAAACATGATACATGTATACAGTATTTTCAGTAACTTTTTAAACTAACTTACATTCTAATTCGATCTTACCTCCTGTAAGCCTGTACTTCCATTATCATTTTTTTATCTGCAGCTTCCAGTACTTGCATGGAAAGAATCTTCACAAATACCCCAACATTATAAACATCACTTAAACTTTCCACAACCTCTGCATTATTACTGTAAAATAAAAAAAAAAAATGTGGATAGTGTCCACATGTGGACACAGATGATGCCTCCGCTTGCTTATCATATAGTTATAAAGGGACATAACTGAAGAACGGTAAAAGTGACGCCACCGAATTTCGTACTTAAACTGTATTATGTAGTAATAAGCATTGTGTATAAGTTTCATAACATTTGGTTGAGGCAAACTAAAGTTAGAGAACGGAAACAATATTTGTACTTGATCTTAGTTTTGTGGTAATGAGTATTGTGTATAGGTTTCATAATGTTTGGTTAGGGCAAACTTAAGTTACTGAATGGAAACTAAAAATTTTGCAATTTTTCGATTTATAAAGGGGCATAAATCAATAATGGTTAAACTGACACTACCCAAATTAAACTTGATCTGTGTTTTATTAGTGGAAGGCAAAATTAAACATTGCATTGTATAAAGCATTGATTGTAGTTGATTTAACTATAATCATGAACAAAGGAAGATAACTCCAATTTTAAAAATTACTTGAATAATGACATTGATATTTTTGGAAAAAATTGAAAAAATTAGCAATTTTTCCATTTGTAAAGGGGCATAACTCTAGAACAGTAAAAGTGACGCCCCAAAAATTAAAACTTGATCTGTGTATTGTGGTAATAAGCATTGTGTATAAGTTTCATAACATTTGGATGAGGCAAACTTAAGTAAGAAAACGGAAATGAAAAATTTTGCAATTTTTCCATTTATAAAGGGGCATAACACTAGAACGGTTAAAGTGATGCCCCCAAAATTCAAACTTGATCTTTGTTTTTTGGTATTAAACATTGTGTATAAATTTGATAACATTTGGTTGAGGCAAACTTAAGAACGTACATACGTACGGACGGACAAGGGTAAAACTTAATGCCCCCTCCGCTTCGGCGGGGGCATAAAAACAATAAAATCATAAAAAATGACTCTCCTACACATGACCATTAAAATATTGTTGGAATGCTATACCAAAATAAACTAGAGGCTCCAAAAAGTCTGATGCAAAAGTATGTTGATCATTTATCAAAATTTATCTCATGAAAGACACAGAGATCAATCAGGCAAGTTTGGCTTTGACCAGTTACTAGATTTCAAAAAGAAGGTTTTACTGTTAATTCTCTATATGGTCTGTACCTTTAACCAAATAATGCAAGTGAAACAAACATGTATAAATGGTATTTGCTCTCTTATGAGGTGCTTATATACAGTAAACCTCCTTTTTGGAACTCCATTTAGAAGAAATTGAGCAAGAGGTTTATATACTTAATATAGTCAAAATAGTCTTCAATGAAAGTTGTTAACTTCACTAATTCTGTTTCTCACTTCATAAAACTTTGTTTATGACTGATATTTTTCAACCAGTCTGGAGTCGTGGCAGCTATATTCAATTTCAGACATGATCACAATTATATTTCTGATAGGAAACTTCCTATTCATCATTTCTGACACATTTGTTTTCGCCTTCTAAAGCATATTCAATTATGAGACAGAGCAAGGATATTAAATAACTACAAAGTCAACATAAAATTGCGAATGGAAATGGGGAATGTGTCTAAGATACAACAACCCGACCAAAGAGCAGAAAACAAATCTGTTTATCAAAAGATAATCCATTAGCATGATTAAGAGTACATTGTATTTCTTCCATATTTGGCTTGATCTGCTTTATTTATTTTTGATTGAAGTCATCTAAAATGACAGTTGGTAAATATAAGGACTAGAGTAATAAAAAAAATAAGAGGCTCCAATGTCCTTGTTGTATATTATGCAAGCCACAGAACATAATTCCGAAAAAGGGCCTTTACATCAGAATTTGAATATTTGTTGAATGGTTCACAATAAAACAAATTTTTATCTACTGATTGACAATAGATGACATGTGATGGCAATAGCAAATACAAATGTATTGCTTTTATTGGCCAAAATGAAATGAACGATCTTATTAAGATTTTGATAAAAGACTTCCTGAAATGTAAGGTGAATATTTCTTCGTTATACCTTTCATCTTTTTTCAAAAACACACCGGCATATGGCTGTCGCAACTCCATCTTCCGTACTAAAAGACTTATCAAATCTTTATCTGTCACCTAAAACACAAATAATGTAGAAGCTAAATATTTTTAACACAAATAATGTCTTGGCCTGCACTTTTTATATAAGTTTTCTTACCTGTTCCTTAAATTTTATTGTAACCATAAGAGGCTCCAATGTAGTTTCTTTCTTCTATGTAATTTGGTCTCTGGTGGAAAGTTGTCTCATTGGCAAACATACCACTCTTCTTTTTTTATATTAGTTATCTGACTTTCAATCATTGGTATGTGATCAGTTACTGCTGAGAAACTTTTTTCAGTTTTCTAGTCATTGTCTTACTTTCATATATAGACTCCTTGGTCTCGCTACATCATGCTCAAATCAAATGCTGGGAGTTATGGGTTTGGATCCTGGTGAAACTAGAGACCTGTTAATTTAATTGCAGTTTCTACCCTAAACACGAGGAGTATGGGCAAAGACTGGTCGCCTGAGACAGGATTCTAAATAAGCGGTTGCTCTTAATTTTACATCGGGCCAGTAGACTTTTATGGACATCTACCATGTCTACCATGTTTACCCGCCGGGGTATTTCAATTTTGGTTGTAGCTTCACTGAAAATAGGGCAAATTACATTTTCTCGACTATTGTTCTAGACAGGATGTTTTTTTTTTAACCGCTAGCTTAATACTGAATATTGTCAACTAGTAATGTGTAAAACCAAGAAAATACTACATTACCGACACAAACAATTTCGAAAATTGGCTAACTGGAGGTATAGATAAAAGCAATATCAGATCTAAGGTCATATAATGGATTTTATTGCAGTTGTGTTTACTTTTCCAAACTGGAAAATGTGTATGACCAGTCAATCAAAATTTTTAACTTTAAACTAAATAAAATGCTCCGCAGGGCGCAGCTTGATACGACCGCAGAGGTCGAACCCTGAACAGTTGGGGCAAGTATGGACACAACATTCAAGCTTGATACAGCTTTGCATTTGGATTGTGATTAAATATTTGACACAGCATAGGTTTCTGACACAGAATGAATGTGGTCTAAGAACTTAAAAATTTTAAATTGGACATTCACCTATTATGGTCCAAAATCCAAATCTAAATACATGGTTAGATTCAGCATATCAAAGAACCCCAAGAATTCAATTTTTGATGAAATCAAACAAAGTTTAATTTTGGACCCTTTTGACCTCAATGTGGACAAAGTTGATAATGGGGCCAAAAAATCAAAAATCTAAATACATGGTTAGATTCAGCATATCAAAGAACCCCATATATTCAATTTTTGTTGAAATCAAACAAAGTTTAATTTTGGACCCCGATTTGGACCAACTTGAAAACTGGGCCCATAATCAAAAATCTAAATACATGTTTAGATTCAGCATATCAAAGAACCCTAAGAATTCAATTTTTGTTAAAATCAAACTCAGTTTAATTTTGGACCCTTTGGACCTTAATGTAGACCAATTTGAAAACGGAACCCAAAATTAAGAATCTAAATACACGGTTAGATTCGGCATATCAAAGAACCCCAATAATTCAATTTTTGATGAAATCAAACAAAGTTTAATTTTGGACCCTTTGGACCTCAATGTGGACCAATTTAAAAACGGGGCCCAAAATCCAAAAACTAAATACACGGTTAGATTCAGCATATTAAAGAAACCCAAGAATTCAAGAATAAAACCCCATTGAAATTGGTCAAGAAATAAGCAATTTATACGAAGTATCTTCTTTTGCACAATACTGTGCAATTAAATATTTCTTGCTATTGCGCAATACTGTACAATTGACAATTTCTTGCTATTGCGCAATATTGTGCTATTGGATATTTCTTGCTATTGCGCAATACTGTGCAATTGAAGATTTCTTGCTATTGTGCAATACTGTGCAATTGAAAAAATATCATAAAATTATATCTCAAACGATCACCTGGTTCCCTTTTAAATTGTCTACATTTTAAATTCGTAGAGGTACAAATCGATGTTGTCCCTATAAGATTCAATCATTAATTGTATTTGTACTCTGTCGCTTCAAAACTGTTCAAACATTACGAATTTCGAAATTCAATAAAATGTCAGCGATTAAATGATTAAAATATTGATTTTTGTTCCAAGGGAAATAACTCGAAATGGTCTTGCTAAAAGATGAATTGCAGAATCGATATTAAATTACGGTGGGGCGATCTAAAATACAACGGAAAAGGGGCATGCGCCAAATGTTTTTCCTAAAAAGGGCAGGGCGTCAGGAAAGCATGACGGGCGCCATACCACGCAAGGTTGGCAAAAAAGCGGTCAATACTAGTATTGACCAGGCTGGCGGTAAATACCGGTAAATACCAGGAAATACTGGCAAATACTGGTCAATACTGGCAAATACTGGTCAATTGAAATTTTGATAAGATATTACTATTAAATACAGTCCCTACCTGGTCAACTACAGGGTAAATGGACAAATATATTCACAGGACAGAAAGTCACTTATTTACTACATTGTAAAGGACAGAAAGTCACTTATTTACTACATTGTAAAGGACAGAAAGTCATTTATTTACTACATTGTAAAGGACAAAAACTCACAATTAATTAGTTAACAAGTTTTTGAATATGTAAGGGAAAATCCTTGAAATGAATTCATTGTAATGTTTATGAGATTGATAATGAACATGGTTAAATGAAGATTTATTAAATATTAATCCTACAAAGGATATTTCTTGGTACCATGAAGCCAGTCAAGAAAAAGACTATGGCAGCTTGTTTTCTTAACAGTAATTTCATCAAATGTAATAAAACAATGTCTTGAAAATTAGTCTTTTCTTAATCAAAGAAACAGTTCTTTCAAAATTGCATTGTGACTTTCTGTCCTGTGATATTTAGCCCTACATTCAATAACTCTTAGTCGTGAAAATATGAAAGTTTTCAAGTCAAAATTAGACTTTTTTAATGTTATCTTTTCTTATATAAATTGAAATTTTACATGAACACATCGTGGACAGTGATTTTTAGAATAAAATTAAAGAAAAAGAAAAAGCACCAGCCAAAGTATAGATCCTTCCATTTTCTGTATTTAGTTTTAGAAGATATTTATCATGCAGTTGAATAGTCAGGAATAAAATAATTGTTTTAAACAGTCTTCAAAAATAACTTTTATGACTTTTTTCCTGTTATGTCAACATTTATTAGGGGACAGTTGTAATATTGAATAAACTTTTGACACCTGCTTGCCATATAATAGGTAATGCCCTGATAATCTAGTCACCTGTTATTCTATTTACCTGTTAAAATCAAACCTTTTCAAGAAAAAAAAATATATATTTTAGAATGTAGGACAGAAAGTCACAGGACAAAAAGTCACAGACAAAAAGTCACGGACGAAAAGTCACAGGACAAAAAGTCACAATTCAGTTTTGAGATTATTTTTCTCTTAACAAGAAAACACTAATTTAAAAAATAAATTTTTGATTTTTTCTTGAACTATAATATATGAAGCAACTTTGTAATTAAAATTTATTCAATAAATATCAATGATGATCAAATAATTGTTATGATAACAAAATGTCAAAGTGGTTTGGCACTTAAATGGCTTCATGGTGCTAAGAAATATATCATTTGCATGATTGAAATTTAATAATTTTTCATTTATCAAGGCTTATGAACAATTTCCTAAACTTAAAAATGAATAAATGTAAAAAAAGAAATTATTTGAAGATCTTTCTCTTATATATTCAAAGAATTGTCTACAAATTATTTGTGACTTTTTGTCCTGTGACTTTTTGTCCTATCCAATTTGTGACTTTATGTCCTGTGACTTTTTGTCCTGTTACTTTCTGTCCTTTTACCATATTTTATACCTGTTGAAATAACTGATATAGCAATTTTATATCCATACCTAAACTATGTTATATCATTACCCATAAGAACTGAATAAGTCATCATTCATTCTAATAGTTGATAAAACATACCAATATCAATCCTTTTTATAAAAAGTTAAAATAATTTCCCCTATCAACTAAGATTTAACTACTATTGATAGTAAAATCTGTCAAAAGAACCATGAAAATTTCAATTGTCCAGTATTTGCCAGTATTGACCACTTGAGGAGTATTGACCGGGGCGGTAAATACCGGTAAATACCACTGGTAAATACCGGGGGTGGTATTTACCGCCCAACCTTGATACCACGCCAAAACATCCTACAGGAAACACAATCTTGAGATGCATATTTCATTAAGTACGATGTACAGCAAAATAATCCTTCTGTCAAGGACAAATTAAACATGGTAGATGGAGAAGAAAAAAATTAAAGTATATGAATTGCATGAAAATATCAAATGCATGTGTACTAACAGTTATTAATTTTCTAAATCCTGGGAAAACAATGTTACGGTTAATCGTCAAGACAGGTAGGTTTGGAAAATAATCTGGGACTGTAATAGGAGCTAATAATGTATTAGTTGCAGATGTTGTTTTTTCTTCCGGTGCAGTATCAGCTGATCCATCCTCTTGCTCTCCTCCACTGCTACTGGCTCCATCTTCACCATCACTACTGCTACTGTTACTGCTACAAAATCTTTTTGAAATATTAAATGTTGAGAAAGGATCATTTCCAGTAAAGGCACTACTGTTAAATCTATTGCCAAGAGAATAAAGAGAAGAGAAGTTTCTACTAATTGCAACTTGGGATTTTTGCAAAGGCAGACAAGTATGATGCAACTGTCCTTTGACCTCGTTTCTGTAATCAGTATTTGTATGAATTGAGTTTTTACATATACATGTCGTTGCTACAGGTTGAAGAGTAACTGTTCTATGAACTCCAGCACTCAAATGTCTAGATATTGTCATACAAATACGCAATTTTGCCTGTTTCGTAACACACGTGCTGGAAATTCGACCAAAAGTCGCCATGTTGAAAGTAAACTTCCGGTAAGGCGGTTCTAAATTTTGAACTTGTGACGGAGTTCATTTTTGTCAGATTTGCGGAAAACAAAACAAAATCACACAACAGCAACATAACACAATCAAAACATAGAAAAAACAAAACAAAAACAGAACAAAAACAAAAACAAAAACAAAAACAAAAACAAAAACAAAAACAAAACAAAAACAAAATCAAAAACAAAATCAAATACGAAATCAAAATCAACATCAAAACAAACACATACACAAAAAAACAAAAACAAAACAAAAAACAAAAACAACAATCATGCCCATATTTGTTTGACAAACCATTGTAGTTTACTCATACAACTTGTAATTTTCATAGTACTAATTTCTATTTTTAAAAAATGAAAAGTTTTAAGCATATCATCAGTAAGATAGCTCTGATATCATTTTATTCACCATAACGGACGGAAGAAAATAATCAGGCAAATAATTTATTTAAATTTAAATTCAGATGTTTATTCCCATATAAACTTTAAACATTTTAAGTTTATGACAAGTAAGACATAACTGAGACTTAGTATATAATATAACTGAAAATATTCAATATATATAGTGCACTATCATGTAACAGTTTGATTACAGTAAATAGTCCAGAGTCCCCTGTCTTCAGTTCTTATGAGGTTTTTTTTTTATTTATGTGTATAGAGTTGATGGATTGTGCATAAAAATCACACTTTCTTCAGCAGATAAATCTTGAACAGAAATGTTTCTTTCCAAAGATTACTTAACAAGTTTTCTCACTTCCCTATTTTGTTCACAAATTAATAACAAAATGTGTTTCGTCCTTTAATATGTTATCATGATTTAAGACATAATCTCTGCTCTCTAGGAATATTAGAATGTCTTCCCTTTTTTCAAGTTATATTTATGTCACTTTCATTGCCTATTGATTCCGAAAGATAATAATTTATAGCCTGGGATCCTGGCTCACTGCTCGACAGTAGACCGACGAAGTATTAGATTCAGGATGCCAGGCTAAATAATTTATAAATAAAGTCAGATAACCGTTGACTCGACAGATATTAGTCAGGGTAACGGGTTGGATACGAACCGAATTTTGATTTCGGCTTTAACGCCTCTTTCTATTAATGAAATTTTGAGAAAACTGCCAAATTGTTGTCCCATTTCAGATTTTACAATTTATATTAAGATATGAACAATTACATTACTCGAAGAAAAAAAATATCAGTTCGCTACGAGCTAGGTATCCAAGTAATATAAGATCATATCACGATACTAATTTATTGGCAAAATATTTTTCATAGTTAGGACATTATGTGACAAAATGGTTCTGGCATTGCAACTTCTACATTCTATATTGATCATAGTTCAACTTTAGCAAAAAAACAATCTTGAAGTAATGTTTCTGCATTTAGTTTAGTTTTTGGAAAAAAAGCTCTCTACTTTTGCATGTTTGAAGAGGGACGAAAGATACCAGGGGGACAGTCAAACTCATAGATCGAAAACAAACTGACAACGCCATGGCCAAAAATAAAAAGACAAACAGAAAAATAATAGTACAGATGACACAACATAGAAAACTAAAGACTAAGCAATACGAACCCCACCAAAAACTGGGGGTGATCTCAGGTGCTCCGGAAGGGTAAGCTGATCCTGCTCCACATGTGGCACCCGTCGTGTTGCTTATGTGATTACAAATCCGGTAAATAGTCTAATTCGGTAGGTCACATTCGTGAAAGGGAAGGATATTGTAGTTACGACATAAGGAACATATCCGATATCATCTGTGAAACGGTTATTCCATAACGGTCAACTGGCCAACTCGTGATGGCGTCCGTAATATTTACGAAGGGATGATTTCAACTTCACCATTTGGAACTCTTGGTTTAATAGCTTCCTTGTGAGCAGCAATCCTCTATGAAGGAAATCATGATAGGAAATACAAGCCGTGAAGCAACAACAAAAAAAAGAAGCCTAGGTTGAATTTGTTTACTTATTTGTTGAATTCTTTATTTATTTTCTTAAAGTCAACTCGAACCGTCTATAATGCCAAATGAACTCCAACAAAGTATAAACATAGAGTTTGTGCTTTTATATGATAACATGTTATATTTTACATAAAAGTATCGTTTAATGTAGATTCTTATTTCTACTTCATCACGGTGATTGTATATATTGAATAAAATCTTCATTAATTCATTGAATAAACTTATGAGTAATGGTAATTAAATTAAATCAATAAGCAATAAAATGTAAATTATTCTAAAAAGAATCTACCAAAATATTTCAAACGTTATTTACTCATACAGCTTTCAAACAACAGAAATTTATAAAAAAAATCTAAGGAGCGTCATTTAATTGTAAACGCCCCAGTTGTCGTTTTCGTCATTTATATATACTCAAAATCGACGTCAAAATTTTATTAGAGACTACTTCTCTTCAGTCACATTAAATCATTTATTTCGTCAAAACTCTTATTCTATACTTAGTCTTAGTTGGCGTTATAGATGGTTCGAGTCATCTTCGCTAGCCAAGGGTTACGATCCACTTTCCTCCTCTATCTTCGCTAGCCAAGGGTTACGATCCACTTCCCTCCTGGAGAGGAGGAAAGTGGATCGTAACCCTTGGCTAGCGAAGATGGGTCCGAGTAGACTTTTAGACGATCCAAGTTGACTTTATATACGGTCCGAGTTGATTCATTGGTGGTCCGAGTTGTCTTCATAGAGTTAATTGTTTTTTTTGTAGACCAGGCTGACTTGTCCCGCACCCGTCAAAAGACATTAGGTTTCCAGATAATAGAGGCGGTGGACAGGAGGGCGGGAACCCGGGAGTAAGAGGGGAGTGGGAGTAAAAGGGGGGGGGGGGTCAAGAAGCGGGAGTTAGGGGTGAGGGAACCGGGAGTAAAGATCAAGATGATTTTCCAAGATCAAAGGGGTAAAATTCAAAAAACATCGTAAGGGGTTCCACGGAACCGTGTGTCAGTCGCCTGCGATTGCTGCTGTCAGTGTAAAAGTGTAATGTTGGCTTAAAAAATGAGTCCATTTATCAATAAAATACAGAATTAAAAAAAAACTTTTTCTTTAGATGCTATTTCTTGGTCTTGAAGATTAGCTTCTGTCCATTTTTCATAACAATCCATGAAGGTTTACAAATTTATCATGTCAAAAAAATTTAATCCCAGACCGTCTGTAAATGTTAACTGTAAAAAACGAAGTTTATCTTTCAGAAAAATACTTAAAATGAAAAAAAAAATATTTTCAAAGGTTTGCTTGAGACATTATCTCTTAATCATTAAAAAGCTTCTGCCAAAGTTTCATAAAACTCTATGAAGCCAGGTTTGACGAAGAAATTGATGTGTAACAAACTTTAACCCCCAGACTGTATCTACTTGTTAACTGTAAAACAAATAAGTTCATTTATTAGTAAAATACGGGGAAATGAAAATAAATGTTTTCAAAATTTTGAACTGGATACTGTCTTTTGGTCTTAAACAAGCTTCTGTCCAAATTTCATAAAATTCCATAAAGGTTTAACAAAGTTATTGATGTCTGAAAAACTTTAACCTGACTATTTATCTGAATGTTAACTGTAAAAAAAACTAATATAAAAATATGGAGATGTGGTATGATTGCCAATGAGACAACTATCCACCCAACTTGCAAGTTCAAACGAAGTGGATGTAAGCAACCGTACGGCCTTCAACAATGAGAGAAACCCATACTGTAAAGTCGGCTATATAAATCCATTTTTTTGCAAAAAACGGAATAAATATTTTCAAATTTTTGCTCTGGATACTGTATTTTGGTCTTAAACAAGCTTCTGTCCAAATTTCATTAAATTCCATGTAGGTTTGACAAAGTTATGGATTTCTAAATAAACTTTAACCACTGACAGACTTAACCTAAATAGTGACGCCGCCCACGTGCACGCAGACGACGGAATCGCTAAGTCGATCTCGCTTTCGCGAAATAAATTTCGCAGGCTCGACAAAAAGAAGGGTAATCAATCCATGGTTACAGAACGATGGCAATTCGTCATAAAGTGAACTAAAACTTTTAACGACACATGATAAATGAACAACGGTTCTCGACTTTGGACAGGTGCACAAAAAACATTTGGCCCTAAGAAACAAATAAGTACTAGTAAGTGATCACAACTGACATATTGCGGAATGGGTACAAGCAATTGGAGGTGGACTGGTAGGTTAATCCTGGTCGGTTTGATCATTCCCAACCCATCTAAAGGTACTTTTGGTCTGTGCTCCCTCAGGGACTTTCTATACTAGTATATAGACTGTCCCTGCTCCCTGTAGATTCCTCTGCATTTGCTCGCTTATTCTTGGCTTTCTGTGCATGTTCTCTTTTGGTTATTTTGTGTTGTTTGTGGTATTTGTATTTGTTGGTCTTCATTTTAATTGGTTTTACACGTTATTTCCCTTTTTCTGACATTGACTACATTTTTACCAAATTAGGAAGTTGGAATATAGGGGAGGGAAGTGGGAGTATAGGGGGAGGAAAGTGGACGTAAGAGGGGAGGGAAGTGGGAGTAAGGGGAAGGGAAGTGGGAATTAATACCCCCTGTCCACCCCCTCATAATAACTGGAGTATAAGTGAATGGATCTCTATGAAATTGTACAACACGGTTCTATGCCTCAAAATGGTGGTTGGGATGGATTATGAGGGTCATGGCCCAAACCGTTTAGGAATTAAGGTGGCCCCTCATGGGCGTGTCCAAGTAATTACATAATCACAAATCTTTTGCCAATATAATCACATAATCATTAATTATTTTTTTAAACAAAATAAGGGAGATACCATTTGATTTTTATGGGGGGGGGGGGGGGGGGTGGCTAGAATGAAATTTGAAAAAAAGGCAGGACAGGAGTTTTAAGTTATAAAGAAAAAAGGCAGGATGAGCAACTTGGCAAAAAAAAAAAAGGGCAGGATGACAATTTATGTAAAAAAAAGACAGGATAAACTAATAGAGTGAAAAATAAAAATGCAGGACAAAATTTTTCATCCTGTATTTAGATTTTGAATTTTTGAGTACCGTTTTTAAATAGGTCCACATTGAGATCCAAAGGGTCCAAAATTAAACTTTAAAAATAAGAAGATGTGGTATGATTGCCAATGAGACAAATCTCCACAAGAGACCAAATGACACAGAAATTAACAACTACAGGTCATCGTACGGCCTTCAACACTGATTAAAACCCATACAGCATAGTCAGCTATAAAAGGCCCCAAAATGACAAATGGAAAACAATTCAAACGAGAAAACTAACGGCCTGATTTATGTACAAAATAATGAACCATAAACAATTATGATATACAGCAACAAACGACAAGAACTGAATAACAGGCTCCTGTCTTTGGAAAGGCACATACAGAATGTGGCGGGGTTAAACTAGTTTGAAGGCGCCAACCCTCCCCCCTTACATGGGACAGTGGTGTAACAGTACAACATAAGAGTAAATTATAATTAACTGTTATCACAGAGATATGTCTCGCTTTTTTGTAATTTTGATTATGCAAATGTTGAAATTAAAATGGCAATACTTAACAAGTTAGGCTAATATTCAAAGTCAATGAACCATGACTCAGGTACATGGCTAAACCATCTCCATGTAAATGAGATGCGCCAATGCAAATACAACTGCATACCAAATATCATTGACTTAATATAAGTTGTTCCCTTTAAACAAACCTAAACACAAACATTAACTTGTAAACTATGTAAAAGTTTCAAAGTCAATGAACCATGAAGAGGGGGTGGTGCTATATAATCTCCATGGAAACGATACTTACAAATGCCAATAAATTTGCATACCAAATATCATTGACTTAACATTAGCAGTTCATCTTAAACTGATCTTATCACAAACTAATACATGTAAACTAAGCAAAAGTTTCAAAATCAATAGGCCATGACTGAGGGGATGGGGCCAAATATTCTCCATTGAAATGAGATGTGCTAATGCTTATACAACTGAATACCAATTAACATCGGCCTACCACTAATGGTTCCCCTTGAACTGACCAATTGTTAACTAAGCAAAATTTTCAAAGTCAATAGACCATGACGAAGGGGGCTGAGCCAAATAATCTCCATGGAAATGAGATATGCCAATGCTTATACAACTGCATACCAAATATCATTGACCTACCACTAATGGTTCTTTATAAACCGACCTAACCACAAACTAATACATGTAAAATAAGCAAAAGTTTCAAAGTCAATAGACCATGACTATGGGGCAGGGCCTAATAATCTCAATGGAAATGAGATGTGCCAATTCTAATACAACTGTATACCAAATATCATTGACCTATCACTAATGGTTCCCCATAAACTGACCTAATACATGTAAAATAAGCAAAAGTTTCAAAGTCAATAGACCATGACTGAGGGGGCAGGGCACAATAATCTCCATGGAGATGAGATGTGTTAATACTAATACAAATGTATACCAAATATGATTGACCTAAAACTTGTGGTTCACCACAAACTAGACCTAATCACAAACTAATACATTGTTGACGCCCTAAACAGCATACCTATGTCTCGCTTTTAGACTCCGTCAAGCGAGACAAAAATCAGTTGAAAAGGATTTAACTCATCAGATAGATACAAAGCAGAAATACATCTAACAAAAACAGAGTGGACGACTGGCATGGTACTTATACATCCCCGCATCAGACAGACACCAAGTACAGATGTGAAAAAAAACCTGAATAACTGGGGTTGTATTATAAGCTGAATCTAACAGTGTATTTAGATTTTTTTATTTTGGGCCCCGTTTTCAAATTGGTCCACATTAAAGTCCAAAGGGGCCAAAATTAAACCTTGTTCGATTTCAACAATAAACTGTTATCACAGAGATATATCTCGCCATTTTGTAATTTTGATAATACAAATGTTGAAATTAAAATTGCAATACTTTAACATGTAAGTAATGCAAATATTCAAAGTCGATGAACCATGACTGAAGGTACATGGCTAAACAATCTCCATGGAATGAGATGTGCCAATGCTCATACAACTACATACCAAATACCATCGACTTATTATAAGTCATTCCCTTTAATCAAACCTAAACACAAACATTAACTTGTAAACTATGTAAAAGTTTCAAAGTCAATAAACCATGATCAGTGGTGGGGCTATATAATCTCCATGACGACGATACTTGCAAATGCCAATAAATTTGCATACCAAATATCAATGACTAAACATGAGCAGTTCATATTAAACTGATCTAATCTGTGACAAACTAATACATGTAAACTAAGCAAAAGTTTCAAAGTAAATAGACCATGAACGAGGGGGCGGGGCCAAATATTCTCCATGGAAATGAGATATATCCATGCTTATACAACTGCATATCAAATATCATTGACCTACCACTAGTGGTTCCCCATAAATTGATCTAATCACAAACTAATACATGTTAACTATGAAAAGTTTCAAAGTCAATAGACCATGACTGAGGGGGCGGGGCCAAAATTATGTCCATGGTAATGAGATGTGCCAATGCTAATACAACTGCATACCAAATATCATTGACCTACCACTAGTGGTTCACCATGAACTAGACTTAATCACAAACTAATACATTGTTGACACCGCCGCCGACGCCGGAAACAGCATACCTGTCTCTCACTTTTTGACTTCGTCAAGGCGAGACAAAAATTGAATATGTGGGGTTCTTTGATATGCTGTATCTAACCATGTATTTAGACTTTCGGCCCGCTATCAAATTCATTCACATTGAGGTCCAAGGGGTCCAAAATTAAAATTTGTTTGATTTCATCACAAATTGAATTCTTTGGGTTCTTTGATATGCTGAATCTAACCATGCATTTAGATTTTGGATATTGGACCATAATAAGTAAATGTCGAATTCAAAATTTTCAAGTTCTTAAGACCACTTTCATTCTGTGTCAGAAACCTATGTTGTGCCAATTATTTAATCACTATCCATATTCAGAGCTGTATCAAACTTAAGTGTGTCCATACTTGTCCAACTGTTCAGGTCGTATCAAGCTGCCCCCTGTGGAACATTTCATTTTAAAATAAAGCCTATATAAAGCCTATCTATATCAAAAGGCTTCACCTTCAACGGACACCAGTGGCGGATCCAGAAATTTTCATAAGAGGGGGCCCACTGACTGCTTAAGAGGGGGCCCGCTCCAGTCATGCTTCAGTGATTCCCAATATAATCAACCAAATTTTTTCCACAAAAGGGCGGGCCCGGGCCCCCTGAAAAACCCTCTAAATCCGCCTCTGGACACACCTTGTTCCATTGTGCCAACATGCAAAACTTTTAATGACGTCTGTAAACTGATGAAAGTCTAATGGATGCTTTGTAAACCAGTACACTAGTACTTCTCAAATAACAATTATTATACAATTTTGTTTATTATTAAGCAAAATACAATGTACAATAATATCATGCATATAAAAATAATGAAAACATATTTATACTGTAAATTCAAAATAATTTGCAAACATTTATTGCTTGGGATTGTTAAACATTCGACAAAAAAAGTTAAATTAATTATTGTCATTTAAGGACATGTTGCAAATAGATAATGCTATCACAATTTTAAAATATAATTTTATTTTTGCTAAATCTATCCCAGTGTAGCAATTTTCAGTAAAAAAATGTATAAAAAATCTGTGAATTTTCAGTAATATGAAAATAAATAACAGCATTTAAAAACAAAAATTTGTGAATTTACAGTAAATGGAAAATAAATAACTGCATTAAAAAAAATTGTGAATTTTACAGAATTGGAAAAAAATTACAGCATTAAAAAAAGAATCATTTGGCTTTCAGAATTATCATTAATCTTATTAAACAAAAAAGCAATATATGATTATTATTGTCCACAGGATTGACCACACAAGGCAGCAGCAGGAACACACCTGTAAAAGAAATAACATAATATTTCATTTGTTGACAATTCATAGTAATTAATTATAAATAACATTAAAATATATGAATTAGGTAATGTTTAAATATTTGAGTGGCAATTTTTCTTTTAAATAGACAGATATTGTTGTATGTAAAATATTTGTTTTCTATTCAAATCTATTGATTTACCAAATAGTATTGCTATTGCAATAGAAATTGTGCAGCTAAAATAGTTATAAAATGGAAAGCCATCTTACTACACCAATTTTGATTTTCAAGGTGTTAAATCACTATTACCGATATTGCATTAATCATTGATTGAGTGTAAGACAAGCGCAGAAGCTATTAAGCTGAAAATTTTTAAAATTTGCATACATGATAAAATTATTCAGGCTATTTTGATAAACTTTCATTGTTTGGTTCAAGTTTTATGACATTTACTTTTTCTCCATATATTGACTGAAGTAATGATTTCTTTGTAAATTTGTATTGAAATACAAAATAAATAAGAAGCCAAGTTTATTATAATAAAGACATCTGATCTTTGTGACAGCACTTGCCATTTCATTTCAAATGAATTTGAGGATTATCTCCCCTTTTCAAGTAAACACAATTCTTTATTATCATAAAAACAGTGATTCTCTTTATGATTCAGTACATGGTCATTAGGTAAAAGTTTAAAGATGGAATAAGAGAAAGTAGTTAAAAAGGACTATAAACCTTCTGAACTATAAAAACATCTGATTTACATCTATTAAGGTTACAGTAGAAAATATAAAGATGAAATATAATTGCAAACAATAAAGATTTATAGAAATTTAAACTGTCCATTATAAGGATTACATCAATTAATTAAATTTGTGTGTGGCAAATAAATATAGTCTCACCTCGAAGCATATCCAATTGCTACCCCAGCCAGTACCCCTAAGGACAAGCTGTGATGCTAACCTGTAATACAAAGTTGAATCAGTTATTTAAACTCTTCCAAATAATCTACTGAGGATTCATTGATTTTCATGGGGATTGAGAAAAAAATCAGATTTCTGTGGATTCATTAAATTTAACGGGGATTGAGGAGAAAATGGATTTCTGTGGATATTTGATTGAAAGTTGATTGATAGAAAATTGGTACTTCGATTCAAAATTGCTTCACCATTACTCACAAAATCCAGTGGGTATTCAGTTTAAAACTTGACAAAAAGAAAAAACATCAAAAACAATCTCTTTCTAAGCTTGGCAGTATTTTTACCATTTTGGACAATTATGTTCCCCCATTCCTCTGGAGCTGAATATCTTCATGTAATTCAATCTTTTCTAATACCTGAACCATTATTAAGGTGGATAATTGGTATATATTTCCTCAGATCGAATTTTCTTATACTTTGCCAGAATGTCGATTTTTCCATGCTTTTATCAAAAATATAATAAAAAGTATGGGTCACTGTGCTATTTTTCAAGCTACAAGTCGTGCAAAATTTCCAAAATTTGCATAGATTGTTCATGAAAAACTTTTTTTGTGAATAAAAAGAAATCTACGAGATAGAATTTTGAAATAAAATATGAGAAGATAGGTTTTAAAATATGCTTTAAGAAAATAAATAGAAAAAGTGGTGTCACCCACGTTGTTTTCTTGCTACAATAATAAATTGAAAATTTCTCTATCAATCCTCATAAAAATCTTACTATTTGAGTCATCTCCCCTTAAATGGCTAAGTTGACAATTTGATTCGAACAAACACAAATATTTGGTATGTGATAAATCAGTTTCAATAATGCAATAAATTACTTATTTTACTTTATTCCAAAAAACAGTCTAACCCTTTAATTTCCAATCTGTCTCAAAATTTGAAGATTTAAGCAAAGAACTAGACCTATTGTGAACTGCTATTTTACAATCCAAGATGGCGATATACACTTAATAAAAAATAATTGTTACCCTGCTGATTCATGTGCTGTAGTAGAATGAAAGCCTTACAATAACCAATGAAAAACTGACCAATTATTATGTTTTATTTGCTATAAGTTTTGTATTATCAACTTTCAATTTGTAAACTGATTAAGAATTGAATGCTTCTTTTTGTCAATTTATTGGGGTGTAAAAGCGTTGACCGGTTCATTTTGTATGAAGCACAGAAGGGCTTCATTCTAAAAAAAAATGTGCACACTGTCAATGCTTTAACAACCCTACACAATTACTAAAAGAAGCATTCAATACTTATAATTAAATTTTTTGCTAGGATCATAACACGATTTCTATCAAGTTTTTCTTTTATTTACCTGTGCACTTTATTGTGAAAGCTCGTGTGAAATGAAGGTTAATTTCAGAATGACGCAAGATTGCTGTATACTAGCCAATCAAAATAACGTATTATAATGAAACATACATGTAATGTAATTATATACAAATGACTATGGTTGCAAAGATGAAACAAAATTATGTTATGTATAAATATTGATATCCTAAAATCAATGTCAATAATAGAAAAGCATCATCAAGAAAATAATTGTTTTAATGCCTTTACTTTATACAGTTTGTGGAGTATCTAAACTTACCACAAACATTTCCTGGTAAAGCCTTAGACTTGGTTGATTTTATTGACCATTTCCAAAGAGCTGCTATCCTGGCTGCCAAGATGGCTTTCCCCGTATCAATGTCAGTGAATGAATGTCCTCCTCTTCTATGAGTTTTGTCAAAACTTTAAGACACTAGTTCATAAAAGTCTCCCAGGTTATTTTTGTTCAAAACAGTTCATTTTATCACTTGTCAATGTATTTGTTTTCCATTTATTTCTAGAAATACAGTTCTTCAAAAATATCAGATGTATGCACTTTCAACTGATCACATTTTTTGAAAATTTACCCAATAATAGTAGAGACCAAATAATTTCTCCCACAGCAAACAGTGGTGGATTCAGGGGGTGGCTTATAGGGTGTATGTCTCTCTTTTGATTGGAATAAACATCAATTTTTAGTAAAAAATCATCAAAAAAAATATTCTTCTCTTCTATGGAATTACTCCCCCAACAACCCTCTTTTCAGAAATCCAGGTTCCACCACTGGTAAAAATCTATTATTTAGAACTTTGTTTACACTTTTTTTTATTTACAGAGCTCTAAATAATAGCTTAGCAAACATCTGATATGTAAAAAAAATATACAAATATCATTAATTATGTTGATTAACAAAATGTCTGGTTATTGCCTACACTGAAGGATTAGTTAAACATTACTATTACCTCCCCTTGCCCCAATTTCACCCTCTTTGGACTTCATCAATCGCAGAACATCTTAAGTGATTGGCTTTAGTTTGATACATTTAGTCAGTAATATGTTTGTGATGGTAAGTAAATGACTATAAATAAATTTGCTACATGTAAAATCTTAAATATATCATCAATATTTCAAAATAAATCAAAAGGAATTTTAATTTCCATTTAAAAAATATAAATAAACATTTTTTGAAGGATTAAACACAATTTTTCACCTTGCTCTCTTTTAACAAAATAAAAAATTCAATTGAATAATAAGAATTTTATAAAAAAAAAAAAAAATCGAATAAATTTCAATATGAAATTTAGTACTATCAATTTTCACCCTAGATGTTCTTTTTAAACTATGCTGTTTGCAAAATATACTAAAAAAAAATTAACATTGGTTTTATTTTCTCTTTTTCTCTCTTCTGTTAGATTCTCCATTCTGAACGACTGGAAGTGTTAACTAGACAAGGACCATCTGTTCAACACAAGTTATAAAAGATTAGCCATTTTATACCAGGGACAATAAGAAATTTTTCTAAATTATAAATTTAAGTTACCCAGTAATTCAAACTTCTGATCGATTCAAAATGGAGAATCATTACAATTTCTTTTTCTCAAAACACTAAAAAAAATTATTGCTTCAATTACATTCTTTTACTTATTTACAGAATTGATTACACAGATATTTTATGCAGTCACAGTAAATACCATCCTGAAAAAGAAATGAGATTCTTTTTAATTCATTTGTCATAAACTGTTAAAAATATTTACAGCAAAATAATAGTAAAGTGGGAATTACAATAATAGTGTTTCATAGCGATTATGTGCAAAACTTCATTTTTTAATTAAAGAGATTTATAAGTAAATGGGAAAACAGTTTGATAACAAAATAAATAATGTAATAACAAACTTTAGAAAAAAATTGTTTTTCAGTATTTATGTATCTTGACACCTCTTTTCAGATTTTTTTATACAGAATTATTATTGTTAACATTTAAATACAGGATGGATGGATGGCTGTTAAACGTCCAGTGGCAAATTATATGCATATTCAGGACAAGAACATGCAAGGGCAATGTTAATATGAAAACTGCCTTTACTAGACATACTGAGCTACACTTTTAACGTGCTAGTTCACAAGGTAACAGTCCATAAGAAGACATGTTGCCCTACCTGTACACTTTATTCTGACCAGTCTTTGCTCTCACTCCTAAATGAGGCGTGATTTGGGGAAAATACCAATTTTCAAGTCTTTGGTTTGACACAGATGGGGATTGAAATCACGACCTCCTGCATTCAAGACAAAGACATTATCATGAGACCACCAAGGCAGTTATAAATACAATTAAAGATTTTTTGTGAACATGCTCACATACCCCATGCCCCTCATTGTCACTGGGCAAACAAAATCTCACCAGATTCCTAAGTTCAAAGACTCATAACTCCTAAAAAACTGATAAAAATTTCTTGTGGATATGCACATCTACATATTATGTCCTCATTAACTACAAAGTTTCATGAAATTCAGTTGTGCTGTTTCAGAGGAGTTGCGATGACAAACTGTTACAGCAGTATAGGACAAAATTCTATGTTCAAAAGGACATAACTCCTAAAAAAAAAATTGATTCAATTTCCTGTCAATATGCACATCTACATAGTATGTTCTTACTAGCTACAAAGTTTCATGAAATTCTGATGTGTGTTTCCAGAGTAGTTGCAATGACAAGAACATGACTGACAGATGGACGGACAGGTCAAAAACATTACACCCTACCTACGTGAGGTACAATAAGATCATCTGAATATGATACAATAATATAGAACATTTACATGATCTGAGATAAGAAATTCATAAATCTATATAGTGTTTAAATCTTACCATAAAAGTCTGCTCCAATTGCCATTTCCAGTCCCAATCCTTGTGGTCAAACTGGAAGCTAACCTGAAAAATGTAATGTTTAAACATTCAAAATTGTTAAGAACTTCCATTGGTATATTGTATGTATATATAGAAATAGACTATATATGACTTAAGTAAAAGCAGATGCGAGGGAAATATCAATTTTACAGCAACCCAAGAACACACAAGTTTAAGACTTCAATGTAATCAATTGGGTTCTTCACATTTAGTCATATAGATTCGAAATACAAATAATTTCCCAATAAGCGACAATAGTATCCCTCTGAGATAGACTTTTTAGATCGAAACCTTGCTCAGAATTAAAGGGCTGGAGTTTAAAAAATAATCCTCCATTTTGATAAAAAAAATAATCTGACCTATTCAGTTGCAAAAAAAAAAATATTTTGGCCTCAATTTTAGGAAGGATGATATGAATGATGTATACAAAAATTGTCTTGCTTAATATTCTGGCTTCATTTAAAATCCCAGGCCCCACCCCAAGAAAATCAAATGGTCCATGCACAATAATGATACTTCAGTTTAAGAAAACATGATTTATTTCTTTGTCTCTCTAGTTTCTATGTTATTTGTTTTTGTGCCTCATACCGATCTATTGAGTTAAGCCAATTGCAACTTATTCTTACAGTTTGTTGTTATGTTGTGCTGTAACACCACTGTCCCAGGTTAGGGGAGGGTTGAGCGCTCACAAACATGTTTAACATCGCCACATTCTTTATGCACCTGTCCCAGGTCAAGAGCCTGTAGTTCAGTGGTTGTATTTGCTTCATGTCTGTCATATTTGTTTTCTATTGAATTATTTTTTTCATGTCAGGCCTTTTACAGCAGACTATACTGTATGGGTTTTTCTCAATTTTGAAGCTGTTTGGTTGCCTATAATTTATTACATCCACTTCATTTAAACTTTGGTGGATAGTCATCTCATTGGCAATCATGCCACATCTCCTTATATTTACAAAGGTTTATTGTAACCTATAACGATATTGATTACATATTTTTTCAATCCTCAGGTCACATAATTTTTCCTATATTTTTTTTATAGTATATAAATGAACATATCATTTGTTTCAAAAAAGGTATTATAAACCTACTTATATCTTAGCTGTAGTAGGCCACCAAGCTGTTCTCCCAATACCATGAAACATGTCCCAGAAATAACCTAAAAGGAATGAAAATTGACACAAATTATATATTTTTCCAATTTAACTAAACTATCATCCTTAAACTTTATAAAAAAAATTCCGTTTCTTACTACCCAATGATATAGCATCAGTCCTGTCTGTGTAAAAAATTTTAGAGCTGGAAAAAGGTTTGATTTTAATTCCAACTGCACAAAAATTATCAGAGTAATCTCCCATTGAATGAAACATTATTGTTTGTTTGTACTTGTCTCCCCTTAAAGATAATTAAATTTGATATCATAATTGTTTTCACATACCTTGTAACTTATTATAACATATATGAAAATGATAAATGAACTCATTATTGGTGTTATGAATGAGAATTTCATTTCTATAGAATCTATAAAAATTGTATGGCTTAAATAAACTTGCCTGATTTCGTTCATGGTAAAGCCTCCGACTTGTTGAAGATCTAGTTAACTATCTTTCTTGGAGCTGCTATTGATTCCTTACAGCTTTTAATTGTTTTTCGACATAGGTTTTTATGCTATCAAAATCCACTGTCCATTTGAATAACTGAAATGTCTGCTTCATTCACAATAACTTATAATATACAGTTTGTCACAAAAATGTTTATTTCTTTTCTCACAATAATTTCTTTTTTTCCGATAAAGATGATTTACTGGATTATTGCAATGTATTAAGTACCAGATGTGCGTTAAAACATATAAAATATTTTGAAAATTTCAGAAAAGTTGGTTGTAACCCACAATTTCTTCCACCCTTTAAAACTATTATCAAGAACTCTGCTTACAGAGATTTTTATTTACAAAGCTCTATATAATAGCAATAGACTAGCTAACAGACATCTGATATATGTAAATACTTATACACATTTAATATACATAATTAAAAAACGTCTTCTTACTGCCTACACTGAAGGAACTTACAGTATGAGGAGTTAAACAGGGGTATTACCTCCCCTTGCCCTTAAATTCAGCCTGTTAAGACTCCCAATCCATCACAACTGAAACACAGTACCTGTAGTGATAGGCATTTGAATGATACATTTAGTCAGTAACATGTCGGTAATGGTATGAAATTAAAAATTAAAAATCAATTAATTTTGTTGACTGTCTCTTTTTTTTTCTGAATTTGTGCAGAGTACTCATGGTATAGTCATGAATAAAGTGTGTCTTCTACAAATATAGAGATAATGTGTCAATAAAATTGAAATTAAAGTCATATCAAAAATCAACATTACAAAATAGTTGGCAATAATATTAAAAAGACTTATGGTTTGGATTCCAAGTAGTAAATTTTTTATCCTCTGAGAAAAATATGCTGTCTTTAAAAGATCAAAGTACAAAATGTATTCAAAACTAATGAATTTCTTATTCTAAAATTCAACAAACTTAGATGAACTATATATATGAAACAAAATAAAAATTGCCTTTTTGTTTTGTTTTTTTTTGTATGCAGAATTTGTCAAAATTATGAAATATGAAATCAAGTATCTAGGAAAATTCTAACTGCCTTTGATTGACTTATTATCTCTGATCACGATTGTCTCCCTTGCAAACTATATAAAATCGGAAATCAACATCTTTACGTAGATCTTACAAAATTATGTTTCAGTGCTCGTTATGATCAAGATAGTGCAATTGGGACAAGTGGTCAAAATTGTGTAATGCTCGCCTAAATCATGCAAGTTGGTACCAATGAGAATGGAAATATCTAACGTAAGTGGTTTTAAACTTCATATATTACAGCAAAATATAATGTGAAAATCAACACAGGGAAAAAAACTGAAACCTAGATGACTTATTTCCTGTGAACTAGTATTTAGTATAACCCGGGGGATTTTTTAAGAATGGTTATGTTACATTTTCAACATTCACAATGTTAAATGGTTTAAGGAACTATTCACAATGAGAATCATACACAAGTTTAATTTTAAAATAATACCCAAATAAATGTTTCATCTGATGTATAGAGAAAATATATATGACAAGCTAGCAAACGTCAAGGTTGAAAATTAACCGAAGGTTTGAGATAATTTATGTGTGAATTATAAAGATTACTGGCAGATGATAGTTTCAGATGACTGATTGAAAGTATTGGAAATAATAGATATAATCATTACTTCTTTTCTTTTCGGTCCAAACAATATAAAACATGTGAAGTACCAAGATCATTCAGATTAGAATTATGAAATATTATTTTTACTGCAGGTCTTCCTTCGTAGCCATCTTGGCTTTTCAGAACCAAATAAACATGTACTTTATGGATTTTTTCAACTTGCGCTTAAATTCAATTTGATATAGACCGTACAAAATTAAATTTTATTTAAAACTGCTTAAATTTTATTAAATATTCAGATTGAGTTTTTTTTTATTTCCGATGCATCATAATGTGTCAAATACAATTAGATTTTGATTTAAAATGTATTTTAACTTCCTTTTAAAAAATTTTAAACGAAATTAAAAGCTTAATGTGCTAAGATTGGTCTTTTTGATCTCAATAACGATCAAATATCAAATGTATATCATTTCAGAATTACATTAAAAGATCCCTTTGAATAACACACACCATATCCTGAATACATAGAAACCACTGAACCATCCATGGAACAAAAGCAAGAAACGGACAATAAAACCTGACCAATCAGAACTAGCTAAAAAACAACTATGTTAAATGTTAGTAAAGACGCAGCACTTGAAGCGCAATGTATTTCTGAAATGATCATTTGATATTTTTTCAGTCTATAGCAAACTTTTTTCAGATCAAGATTAATATTCTGTTACAAAATCTTACTTTTAACCATTAGTTTAAATCAATTTCAATTCAAGATTTATGTTGTTCTACAATCTGACAATCATGATGCATTGAATATACAAAAAAAGAAAAAGAAAAGGAAAATATTTTCCTTATGTAAATTTGAAATTTGAAATAAAAATATTGGAAGGCCCTTTTTACAAACCCTTTATCACTTACATAAGAACTGATAGAGCTAACCAAACATATCTCTATAAACAGTTCACATACATTGCCTATATTTCTTCCAGTCTTTCACTTTCTGCTCATGGTTCTTCTGCCATCCTTGGTATAATTGGAAATAAAAGAAAGTCATTATTATTCAGAATCTACACAAATCACAAACTTTTTATATACAATTTTTTTAAACATTTTAAAATTGATGAAGAACTTGTCTGTGAACTTGATCATGCAAAACAGCAATCAAATAAAAGGGTTTCTTTGTTGTGTACCAAGTATATTTGACATTTTCGCTCTCTTTTTTCTTTTTTCTGTTTTTCAGCTTCTTCAACAGGGACCTCAGAAAGAAACAATCAATTAAACAATCTAATTTAATGGGTAATATCCATCCTCACACTTCTACCAGTGAGCGTATCTTTAGTTTGGCTGCATCATTTTTCCATGTAGACTGCTTCCAAATAATAAAACCAGATAATCTCCAGAAAACTTCAGCATGATATCTCAAAGTCCCCTTCTACAGGCATAGGCAGGAAGCCTGTAGCAGTCGTAGGTCGCTTGCGAACATCTTTTTGCCGCCCGTCCTCGCGAGTCAGCGACGGAGGCCATCTCGACATCGATGACTGTCGTCCCGTTTGGAGGTAACCAGCTAATTAAAGGAAACACCACAAACAGCAAAATTACTTAATATTACTTACATTGCCTACATTTCTTCCAGTCCTTCAATTTCTGTTGGTTCTTCTCGCCATCCTTGGTATAATTGGAAATAAAAGAAAGTCATTATTATTCAGAATCTACACAAATCACAAACTTTTTATATACAATTTTTTTAAACATTTTAAAATTGGTGAAGAACTTGTCTGTGAACTTGATCATGCAAAACAGCAATCAAATAAAAGGGTTTCTTTGTTGTGTACCAAGTATATTTGACATTTTCGCTCTCTTTTTTCTTTTTTCTGTTTTTCTGCTTCTTCAACAGGGACGTCAGAAAGAAACAATTAATTAAACAATCTAATTTAATGGGTAATATCCATCCTCACACTTCTACCAGTGAGCGTATCTTTAGTTTGGCTGCATCTTTTTTCCATGTAGACTGCTTCCAAATAATAAAACCAGATAATCTCCAGAAAACTTCAGCATGATATCTCAAAGTCCCCTTCTACAGGCATAGGCAGGAAGCCTGTAGCAGTCGTAGGTCGCTTGCGAACATCTTTTTGCCGCCCGTCCTCGCGAGTCAGCGACGGAGGCCATCTCGACATCGATGACTGTCGTCCCGTTTGGAGGTAACCAGCTAATTAAAGGAAACACCACAAACAGCAAAATTACTTAATATTACTTACATTGCCTACATTTCTTCCAGTCCTTCAATTTCTGTTGGTTCTTCTCGCCATCCTTGGTATAATTGGAAATAAAAGAAAGTCATTATTATTCAGAATCTACACAAATCACAAACTTTTTATATACAATTTTTTTAAACATTTTAAAATTGGTGAAGAACTTGTCTGTGAACTTGATCATGCAAAACAGCAATCAAATAAAAGGGTTTCTTTGTTGTGTACCAAGTATATTTGACATTTTCGCTCTCTTTTTTCTTTTTTCTGTTTTTCTGCTTCTTCAACAGGGACGTCAGAAAGAAACAATCAATTAAACAATCTAATTTAATGGATAATATCCATCCTCACACTTCTACCAGTGAGCGTATCTTTAGTTCGGCTGCATCATTTTTCCATGTAGACTGCTTCCAAATAATAAAACCAGATAATCTCCAGAAAACTTCAGCATGATACCTCAAAGTCCCCTTCTACAGGCATAGGCAGGAAGCCTGTAGCAGTCGTAGGTCGCTTGCGAACATCTTTTTGCCGCCCGTCCTCGCGAGTCAGCGACGGAGGCCATCTCGACATCGATGACTGTCGTCCCGTTTGGAGGTAACCAGCTAATTAAAGGAAACACCACAAACAGCAAAATTACTTAATATTACTTACATTGCCTACATTTCTTCCAGTCCTTCAATTTCTGTTGGTTCTTCTCGCCATCCTTGGTATAATTGGAAATAAAAGAA